CAAACAAGAATATACAGGATACTTGGTTAGTGATGAACAAAAAAAAAAAAAAAAATTATCATATGTGTCATTGATGATGCGTGTATCCGAGATTGTAATATTTCTTTGTTTTCGGATTGATTGTTTGTGACGTACAATCATTACATTTTTGTTAATGTTGTTGATATGGTCGAAATATATTTGAAAATTTACACAAAAAATTATCGTTTATCTTTCTCGTATGAAAAAGCATCTTCATAGATAAACTGATGGCATGAAATGTATATCATATTGAATAACATATAACTATCATATACAGATCTTGTGTTTGTTATCCAAATTATAAACTGTCGAAATTTTTACAAATAGCTTTTTTGGATTAACTTATTTTTTCTTTTTGTTTCTTTCATTTAAAGCCTTTTTTCTTCTTTTTTTACATCATTTTTTGAATGAATCAACATAACCATAATGTCGATGGTGATTATGATAATTGATAATGGTGACAAACAAATTTTCAATAAAATACAAACAGATTGTGTTATTTTTCATTTTATTTATTGAAAAATAAGATAAAAGAAAAATGAATTAATGCAATAGATAAACATATTGATAGTTTGGATGATGATGATGATGATTTGAAAATTGCAAAGAAAACTGTTGAAATTTTTCTTCTTTTTTTCGATGGTCATCACACACACACACACACACACACACACACACACACACACACACACACACACACACACACACACACATATCACGCTCATCATCAGTATCATGGCCACAATAATCATCACACGAATTATTTGAGCAATACAGAATGTGTACGCATCTTGGTTTGAAAAAGCTTGTGAAAAAAAAATGAAAATAAAATCATTATCATCATCATTGCTTATTTCAAGCTATTTGTTTTATTTAGATTTTTATCATAATTTTCAATTTTCACAAACACATACCAAAATACTATATAAATTTTGTGGATAGAACCATTTTTCAAAACCAAAATTACACATTTATTTGGTGGTTTTTTCCTTCACTTTTTTCTTTCTCTATCACTATATCACTATCTAGAATGGGTTCAGTATCAATAAGATATTTTTTTTTGTTAATTTTTAAAATTGTGCCTTAGATGAATGAATGATAATGATAATTATGATTAGAAGCAGTATCATCTTCAAATTTGAAAAATAAACCCATAAACTAGATAAATTTTCTTTGATTGTGCTATAATCAAATAGAATGACCATCGTTGATATTTGAAGTGTCTCAATGATTTGAGCTAGATATTTCAAAAATTTAATTGCAGAATATACGTTAAAATATTGTTGTTGTACAATAATAACTTGAAACGTACTTTTTTTTTCTTGTTGTCGATGTTCTGTTGAGTTAATCAATCTGGGTTAAGAGACTTTTTCAGATTCATGAAATCAAGCAAATAGTTTTGTTTTATCACCATCGTTATTATTATTATTATTCAACAATATAATGACCGGGTGATTTAACTTTTAATTATGATGATATTCAATATTACAAATTTCCTGTCCGAGAAATTTTTTTCCATGAAAAACAATCTGATTGATATTTAAACGTTTCATTGATCGGTCGATAGTTCAATCAGAGAAAATTTCTGGACCGCCCGGTATCAAATTAAAGGTATATATCGTCAAAGTGAATAAAAAAGGAGATGGAATTTTTTTTTTTCTTTTTTTCTCAAAAAGGATCAACAACAATGATATGTTTAGTTTGAACTTGGACATTTTCATCTCAATTATTCACATCATTTATTCGAATTCGAAAACGATTGTTTCAGAAACAAAAGTAAGAAATGAAACTTGCAATCACAACCGTTCATAAAGAGATCGATCAATCATCAACAGAAAAAGCGAGATTTTTTGTATTTATTTCACGGATACGTTCATCATAGTCTGATGTGATGATCAAAATGTTCGTGATATGTGACTACAGAAAAGAAAACGGACAAAAAAAAATTAATAGCACCATTTTTTGATATGAGCTTGAAAAAGAATTATATTTAGTGAAAAAAAAACCGTCATATCATCATCAACAAACAACCAAAACAAAATACCTGGAAAAAAACGGTGTCAAATTTATTATATCTCAACGATATCCACATATCTGGACACGTCATATCTTTCAAAAGATATCTTTGTGACAGTTTTTGATTTTGTCCATCAATACAATGTGATTGAGAAAAAAAGATGCTATGATGGATTGTTCGAAAAAAAATTCGATTGTCACAAAATCGATTTTGATCATCAATTTTTTTTGTACAAAAAATAAAAATTTATGAGTTTGTGTTTGTTGTTCATATTCGCTAGTTGAAACAAAAAACACCTAATTCAATCATTGATATCATTGTTGATTTTCACAATCAATTTTTACAGCTTTACACAGGTCTTAGATTATTTTTCTTTTAACGAATGAAATCGAAAGTGAAACAAAACAAAAAGAAAAAGTTTTATCTATTATTATCTTCATTTTATTATTATCACGTAACGGAACTGTCATCATCATCATCATCATCATATATATCGATATTTTGTTGTGTAGATTATTGTTGTCGTTTTTCGTAAAGTTTTTTTCTTTTGATATACTTTACATTTTTTTTTGTGTTGACTTGCCCGTTATTATTGTCATCAGTCATCTATTAATATGACAATCTATATGATGATGACTACCTGAATGAATGAATGTTTTTTTCTGTAATTTTACTTTTAAACTTTATGACATACACATACATATACAATAAAATAGTTGACAATTTGGACGCGATATTCATTCAATCCTAAAGCTTATTTCATTTGATTGTATAGAAATCATCGATGTCTAATTATTATCATCATCAACAACATCTCAAAGATGAATGAATAGAAAATGACAATAATCGAAATTGTATGATGATGACAATATTTACTGATGAAAAAAAAAATTAGAGTAACATTTTATATATGTATGTCGATGAAATTGATGATGATAATGATGACAACTTTTAAGCTTAAAATGATGATGATTAGAGATGTGATTGGATTGGATTGAATTGGATGGTTGGCTGATTTTTCTTCATTCCTAGAAATCATATGAATGAAATTGTTTCGTATGATCTACCAACGGGATACTAGACGATGATGATGATGATGATGATGATGGCGCCCAATTATTTGAAAAGATCTACGATTTTGATAATTTTTTTCCTCGTTTTGACTTATTTCTTGGCCGTTCATCATCATCATCGTCATCATCATCATCATAATCAACAACAACTACATGATCTATGTATTTTTTCCTAAAGTTTCATTTTGATGAACCAAAATGAAAGAATAGACAAAAAAAAATTGAAATACGATCGTGGGAAACAGTAACAGTAACCGCGCTAGTATGACAATTTCATCAATTACGGGAAGATTTTCGACAACGTGTTGATGATGATTGTGATATTTTTTTCCATTTTTTTCACTGTTATTTTCCACCATTTTAATTTGAATAATAAAAAGAAAAAAAATTTCAGGATCGGACAGCTCATTCTGTATTATATTATATTGTGATTTTCTTCCAAAGATTCATAGATTATAATGATCAGTTGTTGTTGAAGATATCGTTTCAATTCCTATATTCATTCAGTAGGCTGATTAGAATGATTATTATTCCATTTTTTTCTTGCTAATTATGAAAAGGGACGAAATTATCAATTATATTTTTTTTCACATTCAACAACCTAATTCAATTTAATTTTTTTTTATATCATCAAAGATCTGATTTATTTCATTTACTATCACTATTCCATTGGCCGTAAGGGCAATGGTTTTTTTTTCGTAGATCTTACATCGGCTTAAATGTATGTATAATTGTATGAAAAAAAAGATGTTAATCTAATTATCTGATTCGATTTATATATTATCGATCATATACAAACATAAATTATCAATAGAAATAAAAGAGGATGAACAAAAGAAAGAAGATATTTAAAATCTACAAGATTGGTAACAAACATTCGAATATATATGATTCATTTCTTGTTGTTAAATGGTTGTTTTAGTTTTTTTTTGTTTTCTTGATCCATTGATTATGGCCAATGGCCATCAAAAGAAAAAAATTAAACTTTCAAAAGTAGTGTTTTTTTTGTTGTTTGTCTGTTTGTGTGTGGTGCAGATAAAGACGCCTAATACTGAGGCAACAACAATTAAATGAACATCAAAAACGAATGGAATGGCTTGGAACAGGATGAATAAATGAATGAATGAATGCGACAGGGGATCCACCTAAAATGATTGGCCTTTAACTCATCATCATCATCATCATCTCAATCATAGCCATCAGACATCATGTTGTCGTTGTTGTTGTTATGTTTGCAAAAAAATGGTCTCAAAAACAAGAAAAAAACCACGGGTGGAGAAACAAAAAGAACAAGTAGAAGAAGCGATAGACAGATTGATGAATTGACGATAATAATAATAATAAAAATTAAAGTTAAAAATTCCATTAATAAAATGACCACTGTTTTTACAATGATGATTGTAATGGTGGAATTCTAATATTCACTTTATCATAACACATTCCAAAAATGGATGAATCAATTTTCATAAAAGAATTATATACAAAAATAAATAAACTAATAATGATGATGTTTGTTTGTTTATAACAATTCAATTCTCATGAAGACAAATGGGATGACATTTTTTTTCATTCAATTTTATTGTCATTCAATTTTCGCGGTCAACCACAATTTTTTTTTATTATAGAAATGATGATGATTGTCACGATGATGATCTATACACAAACTAATTCTATAATAGGATGAAATTTTTTTTTCAATAAAAAAAACCTTTATAATCGTCATATTATTTTCATTACCATTATTATTATTATTATTAAATTGTTTTGGCTACTTTAGTTAGAATTATCACCATCATCATCATTCATCACAATTATTTATTGTTCAAATCGACAAAAAAAAGACGAGCAATCAAGATCACGAGTTTTTTTATATTTATCAATTATTATTGTTGTTGTTAGAATTCACATTTTCATGATTGCAACTCGTTCGTGTAAAAGTCCGGTTGACATTGTCAAAATTTTAGAAAAATTAAATTTCAAAGGGAGTAAAAATGTATCATGAAAAATGTGGAAAAGAAATCAAAAAAAAGGTTGTTTAACCTTGTGCACGTGAAGTGGATGGTTCAGTGGCACTCGATCCTGCTTGATGCTGGAATTGTTGGAACATTTGCTGCATTCGTGCTTTTTCTAATTCATCACGCTCACGGGCTTTTGCTTCTATGGCGGCCTGGCGAGTGGCAGCAATATTTGGATCATCAAAGTTGGTCCCACACAATTTCATTGAATACTTCTTCAAACGATCGTATGTTGATTGAGAAAAGCCCTGAGTTCGGGATACGATGGGAGATGCCACAAGTCCTTTTATATATTGGACACGATCATCGGGCAATCTAACGCGTTTCAGCCCTTCATGATTGCGGAGGGTATTGTTCACACCACTGAATTCTAGCACTTTTGCGCAAAAACCGGCTAACTTCCGATACCCCATGACAGAATGCGATGTCAATACATCTCTATGCAATGCAGGAAACTCGAGAGCAGTAACAGCGTCCGCGGCTGCCATGTATTTTTCCATTTCGTCGTGATACCACTCGGAAGCGATTGATTGCCATGGAAAAGTGGGAAACTTGTCGATTGCTTCGGTTATTGTCACCATTGATGTTAATCCGTATGTTTTAAACCGATTATACAGGATCACCAAGAGTTCCGTTAGATCATTGGGTCTTCGAAACATGGACTTCAATAGCTCTTGTTTCTTTTCGGTAGAGATGCAAGTCATATCATCCCATACATTAATTTCAACAGGCGTAAAATAGAATTCAGCCTTAGCACCAGTAAGGGCTTTGATCAAATTGCAAGTGGATGTTGATGGCTCCTTGCCGATCATGGCCAAGCAGAATTTTGCATATGAATAAGAAATCAACTGACTAACAGTCATTGAAGTTCGTGTCATAAAGGTATAATTGAAGATAGTACCTAAATACGAGAATTTTTGACTCTTATTATATGATGTCCACAAGTTTTCTGTCATTACTGATGCAGGATATGCTGCCTTCAAAACAGCATATGTAACTTTGTCAATCACGGACATTGGATACACAGTTACTCCACTAACTTTGTAAGTAACCAAGGTACCAATGCCATATCTCATAGCATTTTCGGATGAAACTTTTTCGGCAGATAAGGTTAAACGATCCAGGATGTAACCCATACCAGAAGCTTGACAGAACCATATATAAAATTCGTGAGTATTCATGTTGGTTCGCGTAGTGTCGACGGGGAACGCCGGGAAAGGCAAAGCCAATTTTCCACGTACCAGATTAGTGAACACATCAGTAGAATCAATACAATCAGCCTTAGCAAACGGGATAGTTTCACTATAAGTTGCAAAACCCTGATTGTTGAAAACTTCTACGTTCCCAACTTGTTTATCAGCAATAACATGATCGATAGGAACAGTTTCATCTTTTGGTAGAGAAATCGATGACGGTGAACGCAATGTAATGTGTTGACTGACCACTGGGGTAGTATTTTCTGTGTCGTTATTAGCCATTTCGTCTCCGGAGAATGTTATCAATGGAACTTCAACTTTTTTCTTCGATTTCTTTTGTCTTTGTTTTTGTTCGTGTATTATCGGATTCGGAGCAGGACCTGTTGATCTTGTAGCGTATGGACGTTGAAAATTTTTATCGTCACTAGACATTAAAGTGCATAATCAAAATGAACTAAAAGCAATAAGCAATAACCAAAAATCAATTTTTTAAAAAAGAAATAATGACGGATGTTAGTCACAAACCAGTTGCTTCTGTCAATGAAAATATTGCTCCTGGAATGAAATTGTATGTTGACATTGGAGGTTACATGAAATTGATACAAATAGTTTAAGTTTTATTCAATTCGAAAATTTGAAGACACATGAAATTAAAATAACATGAAATGTGGGGTCGATATTAACAAAAATGAATATAATAAAAAAATCAATGTTCGTCTGATCGTCGGTCGTCGTCTTTCTGTTTCTTCCTCGTCGTCTCTGCTCAAAAAACCAACTGCGGCTCTGTGATCACACCACGCTGCTTTTTTCATTATCTCGATCGCCCTCTCACGGGGTCCATTCATTGATGTCGTCACTCCTTACTATTTTCACCAAAACCTTCGATTCATGGCAATCAATATTATCTACTGGCTGTTGATGATTCATCATCTTGTATATGAAAATTGGCTTCATGAAAACTAGAAATGAAGTTCTTGATAAGCTGAAGTTGTTTGTCAATGAAATCAAAGTTGATACTGGAAAAGACGTGTTGGTTGTTCGTTTGGTTCGTTGTTGTTTCAGTTATTTTACTCTGTTCATTGTTTACCCAATTGTGCTGTGTTCAATTATTCAACAGTTTGTTTGTTTATAACAATTCAATTCTCATGAAGACAAATGGGATGACATTTTTTTTTCATTCAATTTTATTGTCATTCAATTTTCGCGGTCAACCACAATTTTTTTTTATTATAGAAATGATGATGATGATGATTGTCACGATGATGATCTATACACAAACTAATTCTATAAGAGGATGAAATTTTTTTTTCAATAAAAAAACCTTTATAATCGTCATATTATTTTCATTACCATTATTATTATTATTATTATTAAATTGTTTTGGCTACTTTAGTTAGAATTATCACCATCATCATCATTCATCACAATTATTTATTGTTCAAATCGACAAAAAAAAGACGAGCAATCAAGATCGCGCGTTTTTTTATATTTATCAATTATTATTGTTGTTGTTGTTGTTGTTAGAATTCATATTTTCATGATTGCAACTCGTTCATTGAATTCAATAGAAAACAGAAAAACACACATGCATGAACACTGAATAATGATGGTGATGATCATGATGATGACGCCCAAAATATAACATACATTTTCTCACTTCTTATTTTTTTTTTTTTGCTTTCATTCACTTTTTTTACGACTTTTAAATGTCCGCTGTCATTATCGTTTTGGATTTTGAAGAAAGTGAAAAAAAATATTATTATTTGTTGTTGTTGTTGTTGTTGTTGTTATTGTCTACATTAAGTCCAGTTTTTTTTTCACTGTTAAGACTTTTTATATTGACTGACAGCCTGACTAGATGATGATACGGTTTGTATATATTCACATTTGAATGTGTCCGTTGTATTCGTTCAGAAAAGAAAGAAAAAAAAAGATGAAGAAAAATTATCTTCATCGATCCAAAAGTGAATGAATGAATGTTGGAAAAAAAATCCTATTCGAATTGTATTATTGTCATTCATATATATTTTTTTTTTTTGAATGTGAAAAATGAAGAGCAATGAAGTGAAAAACATATATCGATGATGATGAATAATGATGGATCTGGTTATTTGAAACTGAATGTTTCAAAACAACGATAGTAGTAACGATGCATCATCTGAGAATGAATCTGTACGACGTGTCCGAGAAAAAAAAGGCGTGATGAAAATGATTTCAATTTCTTTTGCTGTTATTGATGATGATAATAATCATCATCATCATCATCATTGTCCATCATTGCCAATAAAGTCATCATGATCATTTTCTTTGTTGTATTCACATTCATGATCATGATGATCTGTATCATTCACACACATACTCTATAGGTGGCTCGATAATCTTTCATTAATTCACACCATTTTTTTTTTGTTTTGTATTGAATCATCATTCCAATTCATGATCATTGCTCGATTGATTTTTCTTTTGTTTTCTATTTCGTGGTTTTTGAAATTGACAACAATAATGAAACTCGAATTTTTAAAATATATATTGGCGAATCATTAAATGAAAATGATCGAAACGCTTCCATCTTTGAGAATATGATGACCATCACAAAATGATGATTTTATCCAATCAAATTTATCATTTAATCGATTAACTGAAATATTTTTCTCCTACTTCAGTATGTGAATTGAGAAAAAAAAACAAAAAATTTCTCATTATATATCTAAAAGATATTGATCTTGTTTTCGAATCCATTTTAGGATTATTCAAAAAAAAAAAAAAATAATACAGGATTAATCGAAATCTTTTTTTTTTCCTCTTTTCATCATCAGATCAGACAAAAATTGATGGAACATGATGATGAAAATGTTATTAGAAAATAAACAACAACAACAACAACAACAACAAAAGATAACCTGATCATTCCACATGAATTAGATTGTATAGGATTAATGTATCGGTAATAATAAATGATGATAAGCATTTTGTATACAAATGAGTACATCCATCCAGTAAATATTGAAAATCTTCCTTATCATCATCGTTGAAAATAATTACAAAAAAAACAACAATAAAAAATTGATATATAATAAACAACAAATTATATGTACAAATGTGCTGTTTAAAATCAAAATATGGCATATAAATATTTCATTCAAGTTTGTTTACAAATTTTTTTTATTGTTTTTGACATTTTTTATTCAAAAATAAATTATATTCATTCATATGGAAAGATAGATTCTACATGGATATCCAAAATGAAATAAATAAATGGATACAACTACGAAATTCACACACACACACACACACATATACAAATGGACATTAGTGTGGTGGTGAATGGCCACGTTGACACATTGATTGATTTGGGATTCAACCTCCATATTTCTTTTTTTCTCATCATTTACCATACACATTCATTCATTTAATTTCATTAGTGTATGTTTGTTCTAATTTTCATTTCAGCAATCAGAATATATGATTCAACTCTTTTGGTAGAATTGAAAACAAAAATTTGAAATCATATTTTTAAAGAGAAATAAAAGGAGTGGAATGAAATACAACAATCAATAATAATAATAATAATGTTCATTGCAAAATGCCACAGGTTTATTACCTATTACCAAAGATAAAAAATTGGAATAATTTTTTTCTGATTAATTACAATCAATAAATTTATAGGATAAAATTAAGGAAAAAATAATTTCAAGTAAATATAAACATATTTAACTTCATGGAACTTATTGGAACTTCATTCTCATTTGAACATTTTTGGATGACCTAATTTTTGTTTTGTCCCCTTTCGATTTCTAGTTCAATGTCCCCTACGATTGAAAACATCATCATAATAATAAATCGAATCGATCAATCGGATCAGATCATTACTTTTATTTTTTTGTTGTTGAACAAAATTAAAAACAAAAGCTATTTGAAAGATAAATAAGTTTAAAGAATTAAGAGCAAAAAGGAAATCATCAAAAGAATGAACAAACTGAGGACGATATACAATTTGAGAGTTGAAAAAAAATTTCATAATGTTAATCATCATGTGTGAATATTATAAATGATGATGATGGTCGCCTGCGAAACATCTTTTCGTGGTTACAAGCACCCGGCTCATCATTATAATCGTCTTGTTGTCAAAGTTTTTTTTTCATTCATATTCACATAGGTGTTGAAAAATTATCATCCTTTCGGATCGCGAATTGGATGTTTAAAATGGTGAAAAATATGGAAATGTATGCGTGTTCGCTTCACTTGTAAAGTCTCCGTTTAATTTTTTTTTTTCGTTGCTCATCTATTTTTCCGATTAGTGAGCAAGTATCATCACCTGTTTGATAGAATGAGTTTATGATTTTTATTTCGCTTTCATTATCTTCATCGGATGTTGTTGTACGTTTATTTTCGATTAATCCATCATTCCGTTCGAATTTGAACATCATATACAATTGTCCATCGTTTCGAATGATGATGGAAAGACAACGTCTCATTTTTGTTGATTATTACATTATTATACGATTTATTAACACCTCGCCTTTTTGTTGGTTGATTCGTGTTTTGTTTCGCATCATTTAGTAATTATAACAATGATGCAGCGGCCGTCAACGCGTTCATCATCATCATCATCATCATCATCATCCATAATCATAACAATAATGATCATTATTATAAGCATCATTATTATAAGCATTTTATTATAGTTTCACAAATTAATGAATCGATGTTTATCGCCTTTTTTTCTATGCCGACGAAAAAAAAGATCTAATTAACTAACATACATCTTAATATAAATGAAACAAAAATATAAAGATGTTCATCAAAACATATTTTGAATTTGAACGATGAAACGAGTTATTTTGTCCATTAATATAATCATAATGATCATTGTGATTCGATTAGGATTAACAATGAATAGAATGTGAATGTTTTAAAATCAAAGCCAAAATAAAATTTAATGTTAATCATCATCATGATGTTTATTTTCATTGAAAATTGTGACTGTTTTTTTTTGCCCGATAGATAAATGATATTTATTAACATGAAGATGATCTTCATCAAATTATGATGATGTACATCAACATAATATTCATAAATTATCTGTTTTTCTTCATATATCTTCACATTTTCATCACCGAAAAATAATCAATCCATTTCTTTTGGATGTGTAAATATATCACATTTATTGTGAGTAGGATAGTTGCAAATTATTTTAAAAAAACATCCGATAAAATTTTTTAAACATAAAGTCATAGTCTGACAATGATAAAAAGGATTAATCATCAACTATACAGTTCATTCGGTTATAATAATAATAATCTTATTATAAATTTTAAAAGATTAACACCATACATGCCACCACTATGTTGTTCTTCAATCATGGTAACTGAATTTTAAGAAATTTGTGAGCTTATTTTTTTTTGTTTGAAAGAGAAAGTTTTTTTTGTTGTTGTTGTTGTTGTTGTTTTTGTTTTTACCTTAAAGATAATTTAATTGATGAGAAAGAAAGAGAGAGAGAGAAATTGGAGCAATTACTTATCTGAAAAAAAAGACAAGTGGACACAAGTATCTGCTTCAAGTTTGTGTAAATTTATAATGATTTTTTTTTAATATTTATTTGTTGTGATTTTTGTGTTACGAAACTTCCTTTTATCGGCAAATAAAAATATATCCATTAAATTTTCTATTAATAATAACAGATGATTGGTAAAGATACCCATATTTTTTTTACAAAGAAATTAGAACTTTTCGTCTGTTCGAAATGATGACGACGATCGATGTTTAAAACAATTATAACAGTTCGATTCTTATTGTTATTGTTAGATTTGTTTCTTTTTTTTTTGCAAGTCATTTTATCATTTGCATTCAAATATTGTTGAATTTGTGAATATAATTATCCGCTTTTTTTTCGTCTAAAATTTCACAATTTAATTCAAACTGATTGAAAGAAAATTTTGTCATGACCGATGAAAAAATGTCTAAAGAAAATCAACCAGCTAATAGCCAATCTGAATGCGAATTAGCTGCCAGATATTTAACTGATATTTTTAATTTACCACGAAATTCTGATCAATCTTCTTTTTTATTTTCTCAAACAAATAGCTCCGATGTGGAATCAAAACTCGTTGACAATAATGGTGATAGTGAAAGAAAATCCAATGACGAAATAGATCAAAACGAATTGAAAAACGAAGATTCATCACTTAATAACAAACGCTGCAAATCACATTCCGAACATTTTGCTGATGAGGATGATGATTATTATGATGGTGAAAATGATGAACAACCACCAAATGATGAAGAATCGAATGATTCAAATGGCCGTTATGATGATTCACGAAATTCATTGCTAGACCCTAATGAGGGCGAAAACCGTGAATATCGTTGTGATCAATGTACAAAAATATTTCATTGGCGTTCAAATTTGATTAGACATCAAGCATCCCATGATCATAATCGTCGTTATTCGTGTGAAGCTTGCCGTAAATCTTTTACTGATCAATCTAATTTACAAAGACACGTTCGTAGTCAACATTTAGGTGCTCGAGCTCATGCATGTCCTGAATGTGGTAAAACATTTGCTACCAGTTCCGGGTTAAAACAACACACTCATATACATTCATCAGTGAAACCATTTCGTTGTGAAGTGTGCTCGAAAGCTTACACTCAATTTTCGAATCTTTGTCGCCACAAACGAATGCATGCTAACTGCCGATTACAAATTCGTTGTGATCGCTGTTCGCAATCATTTTCAACTGTAACTGCATTGACAAAACACAAACGATTTTGTAACGATTCTGCTTCCAATTCCGCTTCAACTCCGAATTCCAAGACAGCAACCGGTGTTTTAATTTCTCCAACAACTTCGACGGCATCAAGAAATAGCTGTGAAGATTATTTTCGAAAAAAATCTACCCAAGCAAATCAGCAACAAAAATCTGGCATCTCAAACAGTTTGTTGACTACTTCTTCTCTCTTTCCGAACAGTACCGATTCACCACAACTTACCGATGATAACATTGATTCAAATTTGTTGCAATTATTTCAGAATTCGCCATTAAATCTACAGAATCAAACATTTGCTCTAGCCGCTGCTGCCGCTGCTGCCAATCCACTTTTTAGCCATCTACTTAATCCTTTATTGTTACAACAAACATTTCTCAATGATCAGGTTGAGAATAAACTTTCAGACAAACAGGTAAGTCAATTTTAATTTGAACAGATATTGTCATATTTTTTTTTAATTTTAGGAATTCAATGACAAAAACTCCATTGACGACGCTGATATAAACGTTAACAATAAATTGGATAATAAAAACGACGACGAAACAGAAAGATCTTCATCACGTTCTTCTTCAGTTTCATCACGTTCTGGAGATTCAAACAATTTTGAAGAAGAAATTGTCTCTTTGAATGGTGATCCAAAGCAACCAAGTAAATTGGAAAACAATCTAAAATTGAAATCCTTAGAAGAATCGATAAGCGATAATCAAGAATCGAACGAGCTAGAAAGTAACGGTAATAAGAGAACAAAAGAAATAAATTTAGACAAAGAAGAGAAAGAAATGTCGACAACATCGTCTGGACGTCCACCATCATCACAACATAATCATAGTCATCGTCATCATAATCGCCGTTCTTCACCAACTAGTCATCATCAAGACTTGTCTGCCACTGAATCATTTTCAAACATGTTTCCATTCGGTTCGACAAACACTAGTGCTGAATCTGGTGGTATTACATCTCCGAATTTTGATTTCCGAACAGCCGCTGCATTGGCACAGTCAATTCAATCGAAATTATTTCATCGAAATGCTACTGGTAAAGATTCTCCGACTTATAGTCTTAATGATGAACCAGCAAAAACAAAAAAGTCGACCAACTTTTCGATCAATTCTTTTCTTGATCAAACTACCAATGAAAATAACGGTAAAAAACACGGAAGAAATAATCCAGATGAAAAACCACTCGATTTGAGTTCACCATCTGGTCTTGGACCAACAATGAATCCGATAGCATTGAAACATCATCATAAAACAGGGTTGGATTCATTGTTACAAACGACTAGTGCATCATCCAATAACGCAATGTTACAACAAGCAATGGCCGCTGCAATGGCTGCACAACATTTCGGTTCTTCATCATTACCATCATCGTCATCATCGGCAAATGATCATCTTATCCGACAACAACAGCAAGCGTTAACTGCATTTCTTTACGGTAATCCTGCTGCTGCGGCTGCTATGGATCCTTCAACAGCAGCTGCAGCTGCAATGTTTCAACAGCAACAGCAACAAGCAATGAATGCCCAACAATTTGATTGGAATCAAATTCTTCTAGAACATTATCGATTTTTGATGGCAAACACTGCAAATAAACAGGCCATAAATGGTGGTAACGGAAACAATCAAAATGATAATCCATTTTTGGCTTCAATAGCAGCAACTACAAAATTATCGTCACCTTATGGAATATCTGGATCACGTATTCCATCAAATCCAACATCAGTTGCTCAACAACAATCAAATTCATGGCTCGAATCTTTTCAAACGATGAAAAAGTTGATTCAAGATCAACAGCAGAGCAATAAAACGCCTTTAAAGCATCAACAGCAGCAATCTCCATCATCGAAAACGTCTTCATCATATCATTCACCCGGATCGTCTTCATTTCTTGGTTCAAACCTATCGGCGTTTCTAGGTGTCAATCATACATCAGCTCCGGTTGTGAATCATAATCATCCACATAGTCAGCATCGATACTCAAATGGATTTCCGGTTCAATCATCCGAACAGAGCGGTGCTGCTATAGCTAATAACACCTTTGCATCAACTATTTCTACTGCTGCTGCCACTCCCATTTCATCATCTTCACCAAATTCTATTAATAAATCGCCAACGATGATGAAAAATGCGGCCTCATCTTCAACGAATACGACAACAACAACAACACCAACAAAAGCGTCATCAACATCAGCAGGGAAATCTTCAAATATTCATCAACAGTCGTCGACAAAACATCGATACCTCAACTCTGGTCACCATCATCCGCATTTGCCTACTAAAATCGTTCCACCGAATCCATTGACATCTCATCGTTCCGGTAAAGAACGTTATGCTTGTCGTTACTGTGGCAAAATGTTTCCACGTTCAGCTAATCTTACCCGACATCTTCGAACACATACTGGTGAACAACCGTACAAATGTAAATATTGTGAACGATCTTTTTCAATTTCATCGAATCTACAACGACATGTTCGTAATATTCACAACAAAGAGAAACCATTCAAATGCCACCTGTGTGATCGTTGTTTCGGACAGCAAACTAATCTGGATCGACATTTGAAAAAACATGAAAGCGACCAACAAACATTGGCATTATCATCACAAACATCACAGTCATCTCATCCACCCACTATGGTTGATCCAGATCGAATTAAAGAATTTTTACGATTGCAACAACAACAGCAACCGAATCTACCATTAGATGAAAGTTATTTTGGAGAGATTCGTTCATTTATGGGCAAAGTGATGAACAATAATAATAACAATAACAATCATCTTCGAAATTCACATTCTGCTGCAGCTGTTGTTGCCGCTATAAATCGTGGTGGTCAAAATCTGGACGATGTTCTGGCCAAAGCAGCAGGTAATCCCACATTGGAAACATTGCAAAAATTATATCCGCTTCTACCTAACTTGGCAAATGCATGGAAAATGAATCCTAAACTGAATGGCAATCCATCGGCATTAGATATGTTGGTGGATCTTAGTGACAAAAAAATTTCAGCGGATAAAAAATCAAATGGATCATTGGATGGTAATAATAGCGAAGCAACTATGATCGAAGATGATGAAGATGAAGATGTTGATGATGATGTCGATGATGAGGAAGAAGAATGTTCGATAAACAGTGGAGCGGAATCATGTTCCGTTGATGACGATGTTAGTGGTGTAGATATTGAATCTGAATTGGATGTTGAAACAGCATCACCTCAGACGACAATCTCGTCTACGATTGCAACTAACAATAAGGGTGGTGATCAAGAATCATTAGTCGATGATGATGAAAAAGAAATAAATGTTTCTAAAAATTCAAGAAAACGTAAACAACAATATGATGATGAAAGATATATAGAGAATGAAGAAGAATTAATTGTTGAAGAAGAAGGATTTGAGGATGAAGAAGGCAATGAAAATGAAGATCTTGAAGACAAAGACCAATATTATGAATGTGAAGATGAGAAAGAAAAAGTCAGTAAAAAATTGCCATCACATCGTAAACGTTCACGTAACATGGATGATAGTAATGATGAGCTGGAATCTGATAGTAAAATGGAAAATGAAAAAGAGAAAAAAGAAGATCCGATTGAGGTTTGATTCACCAAAAAAAAAAAAACCACCAAACAATCCATCTTTCGATATTTATAAAATTCGCCATTGAAATTATTTGTAATTTTTTCGTTTTTATTCAAATTTTTAAAAATTATTCAAAAATCTTTTTTTTTTGGGAAGTTTCACACATTTTCATATTGGTCTTTATCATTCGGCTTTTGGTTTGCCTCTGATTATCCTCTAGTCAGCACATATGTCCAGATTTTTTTTTTTTTTTGGCCATCACACATTTTCATTCAATTAAATGCGCGCGTTCATCATCGTATCGGTAATACTTTGATCGAAATTTTAAATCAATCAATTGATGGAAAACATTTTTGATATTAGGCATTTTAATCTCAAGTTTTATTTTTTTTTGTTTATCTGTCAATTCATGCATCTCACTTTTTTTCTCACTATTCTGTGTGTTTTTGTTTGTTTGTTTGTTTGTTTGTATAGAGAAAAGTTGCTGCTTTTCCCCTCTAAATTGTCCGAAATATTATTTCGATTCCATCATCAAGAATCTTGTCACCAATGTAGCTCTATATTCGATACATTTTTTCTCATATTACAGAAATTTTTGTAATTTGAAAAATATTCTGCTTAGATTTCACAATTTTAATATATTATTTCACAATATATATAAATTTTTGTATTTCGATTAATTTGTTTTTATATTCATTCCAAATTCCAAATGATGACTATTAAAAAAAAATCTTTATAATCTTTTTTATCCATTATAATCTTTCTTTCCCTTATAATTTCTTTCATTTTTTTTGTTGTTATAATTATAATCGATCACTTATTTGAATGAATATCATTGCCATTGTAAATCTACAATGAATTCACAATATTATAAACATACACACACACACACACACATTTATTGTCTCTGGATTCATCATGATTTATTTACAAAAAAAAAAAATATTCACATTATCTACATTTCCTCAATCAAATATAAAAATAAATTGTTCTGTTTTTTCAATGTAAATCCTCGAAAGATGGTGCCACTGTCTAAAAGTTATAAATTAAATTCAAATTCAAATATTATGGTCTGTTTAAAATTTTCACGTTTAATGATTAACTGAACGGTGTTTGGGATAATCATATTATAGACATGTTCGAATCAGTGTTTAATGATTTTTTATTATTATGGAACGAATTTATTTGAACAAAATGACAATTCAAAGATGCCAATTTGAATAAAAAGCAATATATAGAGATAAAACGATTGGAGGATGAACATAAAATACTATAATACACAATAGAAAAACGTTGAATTCATACAGTTGCATATTAACAAAAGAAATTGAAGAATAAGTTAACCAATTGAAAAACCAATGAGAATAATGATTTAGTAGAAAAAAAATCTAAAGTCGATGAAATACGTTTGAACACCATATGATGATGAATTTTCAAAATCAGAAGCTATATTTGTTTAGGCTTTGCTTTTTTTTTGATGGGAACCAATCAGACGTTAATTATTGATTGTTGGCTATGGACAAGGCACCCGAACAACAATAAAAATTGTCTTCCGAATTGTTCAGACTATTGTTGTGGTAACATTTGATAAGGTAGAGTCGGATGTCGATGTGTACCACCAGGATGATGGACATGATGACTAGCAGCAGCTTGAGCTGCCGGTAAGTTGGATGGCGGACCACCACGAAGTTTTGGAGGCATTATATGTACCTATATAAAAAATAGGAAATGGATGAAAAATTTTCATTGCAATTTAAAATAAACAATTTACGAACCGGATGTCTGCCGAATTTAGAATCTAACATAGATTCTTGTTCGCTAGGATGAATACCACTGCCTCGTAGGCCAGCACGTTCAAATTCCAATTGTATAGGTATTCGTTGTCGATATAATGTAGGCGATTCATCATGATATGGTGCCATCGTACCCATAGCTTTACGACGTTGATTGGCACGATGGAAACAACAGCCAATTGTAACAGCAAATAACAATGCAATCAATATGGCAATAGGTGGAATCAACATTGCTAACAAACGGTCACCAAAATAATGCATATTAGGATATTCATCCACATCCGGCGCTTCACTGACATCATGATTAATAGATATGCTGATTGTTGGATCCTCAGTTTCAGCTGCAGCAACTGAATTATCCAAGTCGACACTTTCATCTTCTTCATCATCATCTTCAGCCGATGTATCTCTAATGGGTTTAGCACCCATCACCCTGTTTTCTAAGCCAGGATTATTGGAACAAACAGATTTTGGTATCCATTCGACGCTTAAGAATTTTAGATTAGCTTCCAATGGATCGAAAAGCTGGTTGTAGATATCAAGAACGTCCATACTGGTAATATTTTTATTTAAATTGACATTAGACAAAAATTCCTGTGAATTTCGGGGGAATAATTTCCGATAAATGTCTTCTTGGATGACACTTTTAGGACAAGTTTTGGTCTCAAATATTGAACCACCACCGATGACGTTCTGGGAATGTGAATAACTGGTCACTAATGTACGATTGGTCCAAACAAATTCATAGAAATAATCACTTTGAAGATTATTGATAGATCTAACCGGCCTAATTAAACTTGTCTCATGATGATGATTCCATATTCTATTTTGATGATGATTATGTAAATGACGCTTGACCTGTTGTTTGCTTTCTGATAAGTGATTTTCAACATTCTTTTCAATGTCATCCTCGAGTAACAATGAATTCGAAGTAACTTCATAATTTTCCAATAGATTATTACTGTTATAAGGTAAATGTTCAATAGGTTCGGCAATTTTGGTAAAACGATATCGACTGATGTCCAACATACGAAAAGCTTCCAGATTAGAATTGCCCATCAAACGTGTTGATATTGCATGTGCAACTTCATAAAAATCTTTTGATGTCAAACGTTGCTGCGATCGAGATGTAAGTTCAATATTACGATATAGGAAATTCATTGTTACCTCGAACAAATAATCTTCTCTTGTGTTGTCATCATGTTCAACATCTAATATAAAAATATCATGCTCACTTCTACCGTGAACCGTATCTTCAGCAATTAATTTTAATTCATATGTTCGGATATGTTCCTGTTTGTATGGTAAGCCATAGATAGTTTGCTCGTGCGTATCAAAGTATATGAAATCAGGAAGATCAATTTCAGGTTCTAACGGTGCCAATGACAATGCCAACTGTCTTGTATCTACTTGACGAGTCATCGAATAAACAGTATCTTTCGGTATCTGAAATTTGAATGCACTGCCTAGTCTATATGGACCGATTCGATTCAATCGATTGCTAAACACAATTTTATCTTTGTGTCTAGATGCTGATGTCGAATCTACAGCAGCCGCATAACTACCACAAGCCGATCGTCCGATAAATAAACGTTTTACATGTTCAATAGTGAAATCTGGTGAAACTGACGAACGAAGTTCATTTGAAGGCGACATAAAGCCGAATTCATCTTCAGGAAATGTTATATCATAAAGGCGACTAAATAACAAATTAATTTCATTCACAGGACATGGATGTCTTCGTAATGAATCATTTGTCCATGTAATTGACCTTAATAGTATAAAGATAAAAGTAAATTAAATGAAATCAAAAAGCTTATTATTTATCAACAAAAAGCACTTACCATTGAAGTGATTCTGGATTTTGTTGTATGTTCAAAACATTTATATGTCTCAATAGAGCTTGTCGTTGAGCAGCTTCGTTAAGACCACCGGAAGGCATCTCTTCAAATACTTGTATGGCCATTCTTTGCAATATGGACGACACAGCCTGAATTCGTTCTGGATATCTATCATTATCCCAGGTCATATTTGCCAAAATAAATTTATGCGTGTAAGAAAGTGATTGTCGCGATTGTCGTACATAAATTTCGATGATTTCAGTTGCTTCACCACCTTGAAGATCTACTGCAACTAAATTGAATCGATATCGGCCAATATTATCATCGGTCGGCAATGCATACAAATATTGATTTTCATTATCAAATTGAATCCAATAATCAGCTGGCAATATTTCCGAGTCCATAAAGAAACCGATTCTCAATTGGCGTGTATTACCATCTTCTTTGTCATAGAAAGTATCTTCTGGTATACTAAATTGCCAAAACTTTCCTGCAGTGATACTTAATTTACTGATACGCTTATTGACAAAAGGTCGATGATTCAATATCGTTGTTGAATGTTCTGTTGTACTGGTCGACGTTGTTATACTCGTAGTTGTATTTAAAATATTTTCATCTCCGAAATTAATTGAGGTTTTTCCTAAATCATTTGTATCAAGTGGCGCTATGGATGGTTTGCTCTTTTCATAATCACTGCTGCTACCCAACACTTGAGTCGTATCGATTGTTGCAGAAGATTGCAGTATCGACATCGTGCTTGTTGAGAATACCGGTGTGAATAGTGGCGATTGTTGGTCCAGGTTATTATTGTCAAGCGCCAAACTTACACTTCGGCTAATCAATTCTGGGACTAATACTGGCGTTTGATACAAATGCGGATATGATGGGATGTTAAGATGAAGTTGATGACCGGATCGAGTTGTTTCTTGTGTTTGAATGGTTGGTGTAGGTTGAATGCGATTGAATTGTTGACTAAAGCCACCATGAATATTATCACTGGCTAAACCGGTAAATGTTGGTGATACCATTGATGGTATAATAGTTCGTGATAATGCAGTCATTTGATCAAAATGACTTAAAGAATAATCGATTTTCGATGTTGTTGATGATGACCATATTTCTTTATTCAATGCTGGAGTTTCATAAATATTTTCATCATCAGAATAAGCATTTCGCCGATGATGATGATCTCTTTTATTGTGATGATGATGATAGCGATGGTGATGGTGTTCATAATCGTGGTGTTGTCTACCTGGATGATAAGTCGATTCTGATGATGTCATTAGTGATATGGAAGGATCGACTCGATTGGCATCAATATTGAATTGTATATCATCATTACCGTCACCATGGATTGGACCTTGGGTTATTTTTACCAACTCAGAGTCGACATTAGATATTTTCAATTGTTTCAAAAGCAATTGACTATTGGTATCGAGTTGAAGTTTACCATTAGGTTCAGTTTCACATTCTTTGACATCGTAAAAAAGATGATACTCTTTATTCAAGGTAGAACCATGGCCACTGATATCGTCAAAAACAGCTTGTACATTAAATTGATTGAGCCATTGTTTCAATGTTTGTTCATTTTGAAATGTTTGATCACTATGTTTAAAATATGACTGATATAAACCGATCACGATCATATCAAAAATTTGTTTAATATTTGAGAAATTTTGTTTTAAATCGATCCGACATTGATGAAAATAAGCTGATGATTGTCTCATTGATTGATCTTGCCATCGATAAAGGCCATTCAATAGATAAGCCGGACGGTCCAATGTTTCGATCACAAAAATATCTTCATATTTACGACCATTTTGCATGGCTTCAACTTGAATGAAATAAATGCGTTTCTCTTGTGGGGCGCCAAATAAAAGGCCAGTACTATGATCAAAATAAAGCCAATCCGGCAGACGATTGTTGGAATCAACGTAAGAACCAGCTTGTGATAAAGTAAAATTTTTCACATCATCTGGAATTTCGATTTGATAGTAGAATAATTTTCCTAGTTATGAAAATGAAAAAAATAATGAAAAAAATTCAAAATTCACAAGAATTATCTCACCTATAAATGCTTGTTGGTCGGGTATACGGAACACACCAAACAATGATGTTGTTTCGCTATTTAGTAAAGAATTGGATGCCAATGAAGATATGAATAATGATATGAATATCAACCATCCAAATGATTGATGACAATAGTATTTCCTATTGTGATTGGTCAATAATAATGTCGTTCTAAAAGACGACAAAGACATTTTTGATACCATCGTTACTATTGTGAATGATGATTTATAGAGATGGCTTGATAGCCTTAAAATTGAATATATGTGAAATTACTATTCTACAATATTGAAAGTTGTCAAATCGGTCAGTTATTATCATTTGTCTCCATTCGTTAGGCGAATTATTGTTTGAAAATACACAATCTTATTTTCTTCACGAATAAATAATAAACTGTAAATTATTTAAATTAACAGTCAATGACTGGATTTGATGATGAATATTGCACAGAAAACTGAATAAAACACCAGGTTTGCTGTTGGCACGAAGCAAAAATTGAAGCTGATTGATGATATAAGAATGGTCTGGTCTTTAAGTGATCGTTGCCAACCATTGAGCCATGATTGTTATGATATATATTCAGAAAAAAAAGATTCTCATCTCAACACGATGAGTTATTCATCAAGGGAAAACGTCATCATTATTCATTAGTAAAGAAAAAACGAATATGTTCGGGATGGGAGATCTAGAAATTTGTAAAAATAAAAGACAAGAATAGCATTAATTTTTTTTTTGTTAAAATAAACAAAATTTAAATTGCACACACACACACACACAAACATTGTATACACGACCGAAACAATCACTAAGAATATTTTAAACGATTAATTAAATGGCAAGAAACTTGAAAAGAATATATTCTGTATTTACATTCAATGTTCAATTCACATCACATATTTGATTTGCTGACAAATACAAACTTTGAATTCAACAAATGAACCAGAAAAAACAAAACAATATGGCCAGTATGATGAATGATTCAATTATTTTTTTTTGGCGATCAGATTTGTTGTTAAAAAGGCTGAAATTGCTAGCTCAAAAAAAACCGCCGATTAAGAAAAAAAAAGATCAATCAATCGATTTCAATCGATGAATAAGAATAATAGACAAAAACATTAAAAAAAAAAAAAAGAAATATCCAAATTTTTTTTTATTGAGAGCAATTGAAATGCGTTTGTATACAATGCAAGAACCATAACCAACTACAAATTTTTATGCAATGATTTATTAAGCATAAGATTATGACAACTGGTGTTGTTGATGATGATTATCATCATGGTAATGACGCCGATATGTGGATGTCAAACAAATATCACCATCGTTGTCATTACTCTGAAACCATATTGCAGAAAAAAAATTGAGCAAAATTAACTGTTGAGATATAACACATGGGCAAATTATTTACTCTGTTTTTTTGTCCATTTCGTTTAGTTTTGAAATGAAGAAAAAGGCATATTGCATAAAGTTTATGACAAACATAGACCACAAAAGAAAAACTTGAACAACTGAGATAGTTTTATTGAAGATATAGATCTAATAATATATTTTCTGGTTTCCAGTGGATGGGTAAAATTTAACACCCATTCCAGATGACGTTGATCGTTCAAATCATGGAATGATAAAAAAAAATATTCTAGAAACTTTTATCTGAAGAACATATATAAAGTATTTTGACTATTTTCTCAAGAAACTAGTTCAGTTTTGCTCTCTCTCTTTCTTTCATTTTGTCTGTTAAAAATGAAATTGATTCTATCACAGAATCACTTATACTTTACTCGACTGTTGTTTCTTTTTTTTTTTTTTACTTGGTCGATTCTGTCGAGTACATGTGTTGTTTTTTTTTGTTGTCACAATTCAAAATTGAGTGTATTGATTTGAAATAATAATAATGATAATGATGATCATGATGATGAAACATTAGCTTTAAATGAACAAACATTTCTTCGTACAAGATCATCATGATGAAAGAACTAACAATTTGAATCAAGCTAAACTTTTCATTTTCAAACATAATAAAAAAAAATCTATTCTCATTGATAATGATATTCTTCTTCTACACACACACACACACACACTTTGTGTCACGCATCAAATTGGAGTTATTTCCAAGGTTTTTTTCAGTATAATTTGTGCTCTATTAATTGGGTCATCATCATTATCATTGTTATTGGTATTTTGTCGTTTCTGGTTTTTGTTGTTAGTAAACATTATATAAAATACAAACATGAAAATGATTGAATCTAAAATCAACAATGATGATCATTTTTTGATGGATTTTTTTTGTTTGCCTCCTTATTATTAATGGACATAAAACATGGATTTACATTTTTAATAACGCTTCCATGTTAAATAATACACTAAAGATCTGTAACATTTCAATCAGGCAGAGAAAAAAATGTTTTGACAATTTTTGTTTCTGCTCTTGTCGATTTGAAAATGTGGATTTCAATAATGCGAATCAAATTGATGAGAAAAACCACAAACAAACAATCCATTTTTGGCAAATTAAAAAAAAAGCAAGCTAAAGAGAAAAAAAACGGTTTTCTCATCATCAAAGTGAATGACGGATACAACCGAATTTGATACAATAAATTTAATGTTTTTATATGATATGATAATCATCATCATCATCATTATTATTATTTATAATCACCACCATGACATAAACTACGGAAAAAATACATCCACATTTATTGGATTCATCATCATCAATTATCATTGTATGATGATCATCAAAACGAAAATCATCATTTATAGAAAAACAATGAGCTGGATTGCATTATTATTCAATATGATTTGATATTAATTGATTATAATTATTGACATCGATTAAAAAGCGTGTTAAGGAATAATCAGTTAATTCTCTAATTTGAAATGATGAAAGCAATATAAAAAAATCGATCATATGTTGAATCACTTACCAGAACAGAATACGATTGATGAAAAAGATGTAGAATTTTAGAAGCCAGATAAGTTTTATTATAAAGAATATTCTCTCTGTGCAAAAAAGGCAATCGTTGTTGTTATTTTTCTATTTTGTTTAGAATTTTAAAAAATTGATTTCTATTTTATTATGATCATGAATTAGTATGTCTTGGCAAATGAGATTTGGCAGTCAAAGAGATGATGAAAAATGCTAGCTCTTGGAATTTTTGGCCGGTTTTACAATTCACCGAACACATACATTAGTATAAATTCATTCATATGAATTATTAAAGTCAATATCGATAATGAAATTTATGTTGACCATCATAATAATGCTAGATTCTATGGTCTTGAATGATTATGATCGAATGTTTTGAAAACATTCTCGGCTCTTTTGTGTTTTTTTTCAACGATAAGAATTTCATTTTTGCGGCAATATAAGATTATCAATGATGAAGCAATTGGGTTCGTTTTTTCTGCTGTCAAATATAGTTTTCAATTTAATAATATAAATTGACCATTGAGGATCGTATCATCAATGTTTGTGGATATGTAGGAAATTTCACATCGTTTTTTGCAATTGGAAAAAAACTCTAAACACAGAATCACAAAAACAAGGCTCAAACCTTGTAAAGCACAAATAAAGATGTGGCCGCGGCCACAATCATCATCATCATCATTGTCGACTCATGATCCAAGATGAGTTCCAGACGAGACTTTTTTTTGTAGTCCAAATGAAAAGAAAAAATAACATGAAAACACATATACACACACACACACAAACATGAAGAAACCATGCGTCTGAATGACATGAACTCAATTGAGCAGAATTCGAATTTTGAATCGACACAGAATAAATGTGTAGTGGTAGAAGCAACAAACTATATAAAACTAATATAGCAAGTCATACGAAGGAATTAAACGGGAACTCTGATTTCTCCATGTGGCTCCAAATCGTTTCTTGATGCTCCATAATCAACAAACAAAAAAAAAAAATTCAAACTACATTTACCGATCGATGTAATGAAATGAAAACATATACATAAGTATTAAAAATGAAGAAAGAGAAGAAAGATGCACCTCTATGTGTGTGAGTATATTTTTCGTGAATTCCCAAACATATATATAAACATTGTCTTGTGTGTGTTTGTATATCTGTGTTTTTCGGAATGCTTCTACCTTTATAAAGGTTTGAAGTAGAAAATCTCAATATACCATTATTATTACACACAAAGATATACCTAACTATTTTTGATTACATTATATCGTTTGTATATTCCTCGATCACTGTTGTTTTTTTTTCTCTCTCTCTCGCTCTCTTTCTATGTCAATCTGTGTATTTGAGAATATGGCCATCATGATCACAATGATAATGATTGAAGATGATATGTTGTAAACAGAATTACTAATGTAAACTTTTTCTATATCATCATCTCACATACGGTATATAACCGAGTTTACATAATCACACTATGACGCCCGCGTATGGCCACCAAACAAATAGTAATGGAAAAATGATGACCTCTCCCCTGCTCTTTATCGGTTCGACTGCATTGCTTAAAAAATGGTTTTATCTATACGTGTTAGTATCATAAACCTTTTCCATCTATCCTGCATAGGAAACTAAATTTTATTATATTATCTATATTTCATCTGTGAATATTCGAAAAAATTTTTTTTCTTGCTATCGTTACTGTCCTGTACTGTTGTTTAAATTGCAAACAAATCCAGGATTCATGATTGCTACGATTCTTACTATATTGCGAATACATATTCATACCAACATGTGATTTAATCATTTGATCATCATAAACATATATAAATAATAATCATTATTATGAATAGATAGAATACTATACCTATAACAATGTTCAAGCTGATTCTTCTTTATATATTATTATATAAGAAATTAATGGCTTCGAATTGAAACAGAATAGATGAATGAATGAATTATGTACGATGTACGTGAAAGCCAGAACACCAAGAATGGATAATCGACCAGATGTTCAAATAAACAACACAGTTTGATTTTTTTTTTTTTGGTTTTGTTTCGATCATTTATTATCAATACACATCGTAGTTGTTATTATTGATGATGATACACGATCAATGATCTTTCATTGATTTTGTACTAGTTTTTTTTGTTGTTGTTGATAATACGAATTATAGAGAATATAAAAGTCTATATATTGAGTGTACAATCATAAATTATGATTCATTGCGAAGCAAAAAAAAAGGATTATGAATCCACACGATTTGTGTTTTATATAACCAACACCAGCAAATGAATCCATTCACAACAGTCAAAAAAAAGGAAAAACAAAAAGAAAAATTGAAACTCAACAAATCATATCAATCGTTTATACGGTTGACATCGTAGTTGATGTTGTTATGATTTCTCAAATTTCGGATGTTTTGTTTTTTTTTTGAGTATCGAACGTTTGATGTGATGGTAGATGCTCGGGGTGTTTTTTTTCACTAGTTTGTGTTGTCAATGATGATGGTAAATATCTGCCATACCAACAAGTGAGAGTTGGTTAGATTGAATGCTGCTTGTTTAGGTCAACGAATCATCTCGTAAAAAAAACTCACTGTTAGTTTGATGATGATGATGATGATGTTTTTTTTTTGTTTTCGACGTTAATATTCGACCGGCTCAACAACTTGTTTTTAGCATATATCCAAAAACTAAGCCTGAAAGTGGCCGATGACCATCATCATCATCAATATTTTTGATAATTATAATCTAAATTCACACTAGCGATATCTCGTGTCGTAAAATATTAATATTCGCTTTTTATTCTGTTTTCTAATCAGTAAATCAGCAAATCTTTATTGAATTTTTGATTTATGCAATTATCGATTGTTGATCAAAAATGAATGATCGTTATACTTTTTACTATCTGCAAAGATTTTTTTCCTATGATAAAATAAAATTCCTACTAAAATTATTGAATTTATTCATTGAAAATATTTTCGTGCTTTTTTTTAGAACAATCGTTGCATAATTCATGAATGAATATGTTTGAAATAATATCGTTCAGTATCAATGCATTTAATTGAATCATTTATATGCTGATGGAACGAGAATAAAAAGGTCCATTATCACTTTGGTTCGGATGAATCATCCACAACCATTATTATTACGACAATGATATGGCTGCAGCATTACCCTATCGTTATAGACGAATTAATTTGAATGGAACTCTTCTGAGAATAGCATCGAATTTGGTAATGTGGGAATATTATATTACCTTATTTGAATAAATTGAATTAAAATTGCTGTTTTTTCTTTATTTTCAGGAGCCGCCATGGTGGTTTTTAAAAAATCCGGATGATCCGCCTTATGATGGTTTGTCATATCCATTTCTTCTGTTCCTGGCCGAATACTTGAATTTTAAATGGGAACTCATCGATCAAGATGGTGATTGGGGCTTAAAACGATTTTCTGACCATAATTTTACCGGTCTAGTCGGTTCCATCTTATCGGGTCGGACCCATTTTGCAATGGGAGGTGTTTCAAATTCGATTCCATTGTTTAACAATTTAACTGCTTCATCCGATTTTATTCAAATTTCTCGTATCACTTATTTAACGTTGAAATCTGGATCAAAAATTGATTCTGGTGTAATTTTTTCTCCATTCGATCCAATTGCTGGTTCATTAATGGCTTTTTCCTGTGTATTTACAATAATATTAGCAATCATACTACGTAAATTGATAAAAATTCAAGTCAATTTTCCTTGGTTTGTATTTCAAGCATTTCTTCATCAATCCTTCAAATATCCAACTATCAATTGGTTTGGCATTAATTTTTTAATTCAAATTTGCTGTTGGACCGGTTTATTCTTTTATCAGGCTTACAGTTTGATAATAATTTCTAGATTAACCGATATCGAAAGTTATAATGTCATATCAGATGTGCAACAATTTTCTGCTATGGCTGCTCAACAGAAGCTGATACCGGTAATGAGTGAAAAATCTCCCTATTTTGATATATTTGAAAAATATAAGAAGGCCGACAAAATTTATAAAATTTTATGTAAAAATATGAAAAAAGCTGATTCTCATGAAGATGCCATTTATCAAATGATCAAACATCAACACGATATTGAATTTGGAAATTTTTCACCAGTAAGAAACCCGTCATTCTATTCGGTCATTGGGACATTTAAATATCTGAACATGTTTGCCAATCGTTTGGGTTCACAATACTTTGTTTATAAAGATGATATAGATACAGCTTTTTTTACCGATTATTATGGTCTACTGTTTCGAGCAAATTCCACAATGATTCCATATTTTAATCAATGCATTAAGATCGCACGCGAATGTGGTTTTTTTGTCAAATGGTTTGTTTATGACAAACCAGTATGGACGAAAAAATTTCCTGAATTAGAATCAATGTTATCACGTTTGAATCAAAATAGGAAATTAGACAATGCATCGAGTAATCAATCAACCAAATTGACGTTAAATGTTACACATTACTTGTTCGATACCTATTTTATATGTTTATCATCATTTTTTCTTGTATTCATCAGTGAAATTATTTGGAGAATAATAAAAGTTTCAAAATAAATTTGCTTTATTGATCAACTATGAATTGAATCTTATGGTTTGTTTGTTTCATATGTAGATTAGTTTGATATTTTCATCATCATGTTCTTATCGATCAATATTTGATTCCATTTGAACACATTTTACGGTTTAATCTTTGTTATGATTCTATTCAATTGTTGGTAGCAACGAAGCAACGAGATGGAATCAATTTCTGAAATGAACAATTACATTACAAAACTGTCGCTAAAAAACAATGTTTTCCAATGTAAATTAATCATGTTTATTTTCCAATCGATATCTCGAATTCATCAAACTTTTTTACATATTTTCGGCAAAATTTTTTTCCTTCCAACAAATAAGTGATGGATTTTTGGAATACCAATTTTGAGCCGATTGATGATTACTGTTTTTATTTTGACTTTCGTTTTCATATCAAATGGATCTCGTGTTAAATTTGGAAGAGAACGTCTTGTTTAGACCAAATTTAAATGGTAGTTTGATGAGAGTAGCTGCTACAACGGTTTGTATTGCGTCATGGATAATTTTATCATAAATATTCTTTCTTATTCTATTCTATTCATAGATTGCACCATGGTTCATTGGAAATTATAAACCAGAATTTGTTGCATTTGATGGTTCATCATATCAATTTCTTTTATTTATGGCTAATTATTTTAATTTTACCTATGAATTACAACATGATTTGAAATTAGAATTGAATAAGGATCTCAATGGAAACTATACAGGCCTTATTGGGTCATTATTGAAAGGTGATAGTGATTTCGCTTTAGGCATATTGCCACTCAATTATCCACTCATTAATCCTTTGGTAAAAGCATCCGAAATGATTGATATAACTCGACTGAAGTATATAACATTGTTACCGAAACCTGAAGATGTTTATCGTACATTATTTACACCGTTCGATTTACAAGTTTGGATATATTTCACATTGACCATGATCATATTGCTAGCAGCTGGGTCAATATTCGAAAAAATTATTCCTTCTGGAAGCGATATCTATTGGTTAATGTTTAGCTCATTGCTTCAACGTGGCAAATATTCAATATTTCAAAGTAATGCTATGAACTTATTGATTCAATTATGTTGGTGGTTTGGTTTCATTCTTATTGCTTCATATGGATCGATTATTATTTCATCGCTCACTGATGATATTCGTTTTGAAGAAATCAATGGTGTAAATGATTTCATTCGCTTGATTAATGATAGTTTAGCAGAACCAATCATGGGAGATAGTGGAACATTCAACTATTATTTTGAGGTAAGTAAGTACTTTGATGTTAAAAAACAATGATAATAAACAGGAAATGGTTTGTTAAGAATCGCCAAACTCAATCTGAAGTTTTCGAAATTCTATCAATTCATATGGTATTGACGCCTTCTTATCTTGAAGCTTTTCGGTTGATGTTTGAAACTCGTTTGAATAAAAAAGCACAGCAACCTGTGTATGCGACTATTGGGGCTGATGTTTATCTGGATTTATGGACACGAACTTTGAACGAACAATTATTTTCTGCTTATGATTTGGATCAATCGACAATCATCAGTGAACCTTATGGGATGTTATTTCGAGCCAATTATTCATTTATAATATATTTCAATCAATGTATAAGAATCGCTAGAGAATGTGGTTTTTCCATAAATGGATAATAAAAAAATATAAATGGCCACCATACGCTGTTGTTGGTTTAGAACAATTAATACCTTTAAAACAAGAATTGGAAAATGAACTTTTTGCTTTGACGAAACGACAAATGGGAAAAACATTGATGCTTGAAAATGTTAAGGAAGTATTCTCAACTTATTTGATATGTTTAAAGTTTAATACGATAATTTTTTTTGTTGAAATTATCTACATTGCATGTAAAATAAAACCACGTCTTCAAAAATTGATAAAATCCATTAGATTTTTCAATCAACAACGTATATCAACATCAACAGAAATCCTAATTCGAATATTAATGTTGGAAAGTTTTTCCAAAGATGACACTACTATAGTTCATAAAAACATTTCCAGATGAAACGATCTGCACTAAAACGAAAATGTCAATGATTTTTTTCATTACACTTCGATCTCAATTTTCGGTACGTATTAATTATTAATTTCATTGGTTGTTATGCAAACTATGATATGTAAATAATTACGTAAAAAAACAATGAAAAATGAGAAAATTTTTTTCATTTGTCAATATTGTCAATAAAGAAAATATGGGAAAATCGGAAATGTTTTCATTATTCATCATTTAGATATTGCTTTTATTCACAATTTTCCCAAACATATTTATCGATTAGAACAACTCACGTCAAATATAAAAGTCATGTTAGTAATATGGTGTACTGGTATGTTGATTGTTGTCATTTGTGAAGGACATTGAAGCAAATTAATTATACTGTAACGATTCGATGACGGAATAGTCAAACCAATTGAACTATTTGTCTGCAAAACGAGAATCAAGACTTAATATTGGTCAGTAACAGCGATTGGTGTAATTATTGTATAATTAATGTATTCGGAATTGAATAAGAAGTATAACTCGAATGAACAATAAATTCCCAAGAATTTTGTTATCGCAAACATTCATTCAATCATTCCATTTACGAATTCTATCGTGGATGGATATGACTTTGTTTTTATTTATTTAAATTGTTAATCATGAAACGTTTGAATTTTCATGGCAATCTCATATCAATTGCAACTAATATTGTAAGTAAATATTTTTAACACTATTTCTTCAGCAAGAGGTCAAATTACCCATTTTGAGTTAAATTTGTGATAATCGATTTTTTATATATTTTATATAAAATTTCCAGTAGAAATAGAGTTAATTTGATTTATAATTTTTTTGAATTATTTTTCACAGAATCCACCATGGATGTTTGGAAATGTAAACAATGATTTGACATTGGAACCGACAGACGGAATGTCATATCGATTCCTATTGTTCATGGCTGAATATTTCAATTTTACTTACAAACTCATCGATCATAATGGCGATTATGGTTATCATGAAGTGTCAGATTTGAACTATACCGGTTTGATGAAGTCAGTCATATCAGGTGAAACGCGTTTTGCTATGGGTGGTATATCTGTTCGTATGGCTCATGATAATCCATTTGTACGAATGTCGGATGAAGTCAAAACATCTAGAATTACATACATGACTTTGGATTCTGAGCCAATCAATGTCAAAGGTGTTATTTTCCGTCCATTCGATCCAAGTGTTTGGTTATCTATAGGTGTCATATTGTTATCAATGATGTTGATTGGTTTTCTTTGCACACATCTCACAAAATCCAAATGGAGTTTTACATGGTTAGTGTTATCGGCATTTCTCCAACGCGGTACTCGTCATCTACCTAATGGTTATGGTTCAAATTTTCTCATTCAAATCTCTTGGTACACTGGTCTATTTATGATGGTTTTTTATTCAAATGAAATCATATCCTCATTAACAAATCTACAATCAAAACGGAATATCGCAACTTTAAATGAATTCTGTGACAAAATAATGGAAGAATCCGTTGTTCCATTAGTGGTCAAAGGCACCACTTTACGATCATTTTTTATGGAACATCGAAAAGAGAATGAAATCTATGATATATTGTCACAAAATATGGAAATAATATCCAATTCCATGGATGGTATATATCGTATGGTTGAATCGCGATTGCAACGAAGATTTAAGCCAACAAAAATTTATGCCATTTTAGGTTCGTTTGATACACTTGATATGTTAGCCAATCGTTTTGGTAATGAACATTTTAATTATGCTGATACAATCGCTTCGAGCATATTGACAGATCGTTATGGACTATTGTTTTCCAACAATTCCACTTTAACGTCTTTTTTTAACGAATGCATACGTATAGCTCAAGCACATGGTTTTTTTGCAAAATGGCATCGAAAAAACTATAAATTACCATTTTCTGAAAATCCAATTGATACAATGTTGAATCAATTGGAACACGATCATAATGTTGGATTCACTGGAGCCAAAGAAAGTAACCAGATTTTGCATATGAAAAATGTTGCCGAATGTTTCATACTCTACATATGTTGTATAGCGATAACGATAATGATATTTATCACCGAAATTTTATGGAAATATCTCAAAGTATCTAAACCGTTGATGAAAAAAATACTTTTGAAACGACTACGAAAACAAGAGAAACTTGAACATATGAATTCACAAGAAGAGATAATTCTTCCTAAAAATGTAATTCCTTATCCGGATATAACTGATTCAATTTCTGGAATGAATCAAAAACAAGTTGCTTTACATTGTCTACTTCGACGAAGAGGTAGTCAAAATTTATGATTTGTGTTTAAAATGAATGTTGAAATTGAATATTTTGAAATAAAAGAATGAAATTTATAATTAGTACACACATATTGATTCAATAGAAAAATGTACAAAAATTTGTTCGTTGAGCAAAAAAAGAGATATGAATTTAAAAATTATTTGATATTTTTGAGTAGTTCATCATTGTTCAATCCGTTTACATAGAATCCACCTGTTTGTAGACGACTTTTTGGATGGCCAGGTGGATATTTAATTGAAAATATATTCACATCTAATGCGATACAAATATCCCATGAAACAAAGGTAAAATATCTGATCAATTCGATTGTGTTCCAAATGAATGCACATAGTAATGCTTGATCAGGCGAGACCAATACAAAACGATAATGATCATAATGGTTGCTGTTGTTATTAGAAACAAAAAAGAAATGATTTAGTGCCAACAAAATCGGTGCCACTAATGTAAGATCCAATAATTCAATTTCATGATTGGTGCAATGGGCAATCTATTGTGCATTGCGATGATGATGGTAAATGTGGAAAACAAAATGACATTATTAGCAATGTGACAAACAAAAAAAAAAAATAAGATAAAAATATCTACACACGACAATAAGACAAAAAAAGATACATACCACTAGCTTCATGGTCATTTTGGCAAAGCTTAGGCCACAAAATAATATGAACATTGCTGGATTCATGTGATAATATCCATTAGTGTAACAATAATAGATCAAAACCGATAAAAACAATGGCGCTAATAATGGTTTGTAGGGATTGAAATTTTTATTTCTTTCGATTTTGACACCAGCTTTTTCCAATGGTGTCTGTCGTCCTAATAAAATTATTGATGTCTGGTATATTATTGAATTGAACAAGGTGATCAACGTTGCGAACGATAATAATGTACGTAATTCAATTGAGACAATAGTTCCAACGTGTATCTGATAGTTCCAGATAGATTGGCCATATACGGCCGTTACCAGGTGTGTTAAGATCATAGTCCATTGAGCTTCGGTAACGTCGATCCTATTGAAAAAAATTATGCAAACGTAAATTAATTACCGTTTTCTTGTTTGTTCGTCATTTGGTTTGACATACTTTCCAAAAACCATCTGATTTGTGACATAGCTTAGCCAATGTGTTGTATAAAAAGCAAACAATGAAATAAATAAGACCAAAAGGAAAAGTGTTGGCGATTGACCAGCTTGTATGGCTATTCCAGTAGCATACATTAACAAAATAGTCGATACAGAATCACAGCCATGATCATAAAACTCTTCCAATTGACTATTCTGTACCTTATAACATTGTTTACCATCCAATGCGTCTGCTATTTGATAAAGCCATACGCCTATAGCGCAAAGAAATAATGTCCACGTAGGAACTTCTGACCGAGCATCCGGTGAATAAGCAATGATCAATGAACATGTAATTAAGTTGATGAAAAAACCAATGGCAGTTATGGTACATGGTGCAACGAATTTCGGTATGAATGTAGCCAAATAGGTCCAGAATCGTTGCATTATCCATACTTCTAGAATGCTACCAGCAGAAGCATTGTATTCGTACACATGATCTTTTAAATATTTTAGCTGATCAGGCCTCAATGCCCAACCACCTACGGATCGTTTAGAAGTTTTGTGATCATGATCAGATTTCAAGGCAATATTCTCTGCTCGTACAGTGTCACGTAATTCCGCTAAACTTTTAGGTATATTTAACGAAGATTTACGGACATGTCGTTGATTGCAATTTGTTTGTTGTTGTCGTTCTTTTTCGCCATTCCAATGATCATTATTATCGATCCTTTGCGAGATTCTGGGAAAAAAATCATAAGTCTTCTGTTTCAAAGATGATTGTAATTGCTTTTTCGATGATTCCATAGTGATCATAAAAAAATATCGATTAGTTCTCGTGAGAAAAAAGCAAATGCGTCAATGATAACAGCAATAACATCAGCTAATAAATTTCACATTGAATATCAAAAGTAAACTTTTTTGTTTGGATATTATTTTTTTTGTTTGTTTGTTTTTTGGATTTAAATTACAATATATTAAATGGAATATATATGTGAAATAAAAGAAAAAATTTCATTTAAATAAATTTTTCGAATCCTCGCGAATGATCAAGATAAGTGATGAAAGAGGGAAAAATTCGAAAATCGTTGAGAAAACAAAAATGAACAGGAAATCCAAACTATGGTTCAGCAATAGAAAATATCGTTATGTCGTACGGTATTCATGTAATAATCGAATGCAATAGTAGTCATCGTTATGGTTGTCGTGGATATAAATGACAAAAAAAAATTGTGACAAAAATCCTTGATGATCATCATTGCTTAAATAGATTTAGCATGTGAACGATGATGTCATAAATCGTCAATGTCATCATTATTTGTTGATGATTACAGCTACCATTGCAAATATCACATGCTAGCTGTATGGTTTAATGTGAAATCTAATTCACAAAAAAATATAAACTTGAGATATATCCAGATTATTTTTATTACATACACCCGCTACTTTTATAACAAAATTTAAGAGAATAAGATCAAAAAAAAAAATTTGACGAGTGTGTACTTTGTTATTTAAGAATATCACGATATGGATTATGACTGGTGATTATTATCAATTTAATCAAGGAAATTGCACGCGATGATTATTGTTTTGTTGATAATGTTGAAAATGAAATTTTAACGGGAAAAAAACTTTAGACTTGCAATGTAGACAATTTCATTTTTTTTACAATTTTCACTAATCATACGATGAATGTGGTAGAAAAATAAAACAAAAAAATGAAATGATCATTATATTTTGTATGGTAAATTTGAACACATAAAATATCAATGAAACATGGAAAAAAACATCAGATGCTTTTGTCATAATTGCCAGTTCGTATATTGATTCTTGTAAACACAAATCGGTTTCAAAGACCAATCAACACTTGTGATTTATTATTTTTTTTCTGTAAACAAGGATTTAGATCATAGCTTTCCTATCACCAGTGATCATATGATTGTGAAAACAATAAACAAACGAGAAAAAAAATTCCAAAGAACTATGGACGATGATGATAGTAAAGAAATAAAATTTGTGTCGACGTTAACGAAACCACTAGAAAAAATGAACGGAAAATTTTTTCCGGATCGCACGCGTTAACTTTATTATTTCAAGTACAAAGTTTCAAAGTTCATCGTCGATCATTGATACCTTAATTTTATTGAATCATGGAAATCAAATATCTCCTTATACAATTGAAATTGGCAAGTTAAATGAAGAGAAAAAAAAGGAAAATGATAAAACAGATAAAATATTTAGCCCTCGATCATCGTCATTGGATGAAGCGATCATAACATACAAAAAATAAGTGTATGATGATTTTAATCATCTTGAAGAAACAAGTTGATATTTCGACAAATAAACAATCAAATGAGAGAACGGCAGCAAAGAAAAAAAGTGTTTTTGTTCCAATGATGATTATACCTGTACCAAAAAATTGATTGGTCATCGCTTAGCATATCAGGATGATTGAAAAATTGAATTATTTTTTTCTTGAATAATAAAACTAAAAAAAAATTGGAATGATAATCGCTCAATTATGATGATGATGATGATGATGGTTGTGATAATTTGTGAATTTTACTATTTTTATATCACATTAATATGAACCGATGATTATCCGACCGGTAAACACAATCGACATTTTTAACATTTTCAATTCAAATGAACCAAAAAAGAAATTATTTTCACTGAATAAAAATTTTCAATTCGTTTTGTATTCATATTTTCTACTACTATTGTATATGTGTTTAATCATTTCATTGAATAAACATTCACTTAACTTCATACATCATATATATCGTGAGAGAATTTATCCATTCGGTCATTTATTCGAATACATCTAAATTTAAATTAGTTCCTTCTTGGATATGGTTTGATGATAAACATCATGCGAAAAAGAAAAATCTCTGGACTAGAACCTCGATAATAATGATGTTATATTTGTTGTTGTTCATCCTGATCGTTTTATTCAGCAACAACCAAACAATGTTGATGATGATGACATTTCAATATATGAAAAATAAAAGGATTCAAATATACAATATACCTGAATGTGAGCTTGAGACTAGATTGTTTTGAATGCATGGAAAAAAAAACATACAACTTTATTTTTATTTTCATCTGTTTAATGTATTCGGAAATCCAAATATGAAAATCTAGAGAAAAAAAAATGAAAATGTAAATGGCGTGGTCTGTCAACAACATGATGATGATGTTTGTATCTGAAAAAAAACTAACTGTTGGTGGTCGTATTTTTGAACGATTTTTTCTATTATTTTCAAAATTTCAAATAAAAATGGATTGTTTGAGAATTTTGACTTGAAAATTGTCATCAACATGGATAATGGTAATGGTATTGTTTATCATTGTGATATTTTGTGACAACCAAAAACGGAAATTTTTTTCCTGTATTCAAATTATTTATTTCATCTTTTTTTTAATGATTATAAATGTGCATTACAAAATTATTGAAAAGTTGAATGATTTTAAAATGAATGACCAGGATAAAGAAAAAAATTTGAGTTTGTTTCTTGTTTCAACTCTATCACACACACATTTATAAAATGGACTTTGAATTTTGGTTTTGACCCTCATTTCTGTAGGTTTAATATAATTCAAAAAAAATATCCAAACATTTATCATAAAATCAAATTATTGACCAATTGAACATCAACAATAACAACAACAAAATATATGTATGATGATGATGATGATGAAAAGATCAATATCTGTCATTCATGTTTACTATCATCAACATCGTATGTTGCTAATAATAGCGATATATACACACATACACTATCATTTGGATGGGGAGCGATCATTGAACGTTATTTATTATTAATAGAAAAAAAACCAGATTGAAATAGAAGACACCGGCACAAATAATTGGCCAAAATTTTGAAGATAATCTCCACCTTGGCCATTCATATATATATAATTTATTTGTCATCATTATCATCACCATCTTTGATGATAATCATTTTTTTTTCTATTGCTTATTTGTTAAATTTTCAATTTTCAATTTATTCAATGTTGAATGGCAAATTTATCTTTTTAGGAAAAAAATGTACAGTGCTTTTTTTCTGTGGTTATTTACATATATGAACATTGATCCTGTTGATCCGAAATTCGTTTTTCATTTGTCATTATGAATCCGTACAAACATATTTATTACCCTGAAGGTTTCTAAAATGGTAATAACAAACAACAACAAAAAAAAAATCATTCGAAGACGATTGCATTGATTTGATTTTAACAAATAATTAGTTATTTATCGATCATCGAAAGTTTATCATCGATTACTACTACTACTACTACGATCAACGATCCATTCCATAAATGAACATTTACGGAAACGTAAAATCAATCGAAAAAAATGATGCAATCAGCAAATTTTACAAACATTTTTCAAAGTTTTTGCAGAAAAATTATATCAATGAAGGATATATAATATCTAATCGAAATAATAGACTCGTGCGTTATAATAATTTTTTTGGGTTTGATATTGAAATTCAATACTCCATAGAAATCGGATCAAATTGTATTATTGCATGTTTGATAAAGGATACCAACAAAAAAAAAACACACAGATGACGCGCCTGAATCAATCGATGTATTGATCATCATATGATAATATAACAAAATTGTAATGATAAATTATGGACTGGATTTCATAGTTCACAGTTTACAATAATACAATCATCTAAAGGCGAGGATCTTCTTGTTTGTTTGTTAGTCATTTTTTTTCTTTGGAAATTCCGAAATTTCAAAAAAGGCGTCATAATAGACAATTACCATGCATAGATAGGTGGATAGAATTTTTGTTTTTGTTTTCCCATAAACCCAAAAATATTTGTTAATGATGAATGAAAATTTGTTTTTCAATATTTGTGGCGTGGCCGCAATATATTGAATTTTGTTGTTGTTGAAAGGATCGCCAAAAAAAATCGTGATGATATTCATCAACATATTTTTTTATGATGAAGAGAAAATTTTTGTTGATAACAATGTTTACATATACACTATTACAATATAATGGGCTTCTGCCCATCGTTATAAGCAGACAATCTTATCACATCGACTAAATCGAATCGTATGAATATGCGATTTGCAGATGAAATGAAAAAAATGATAAATAATAATGAAAAAAATATACATCTTTGGTGACCATTCTCTTGTTCATTTATCGGTGGATGATGATGATGATGATGATGACGACGATAACGATGGAAATGTTGATATTGATGGCAATACAGTTTCCATCCATACATGGAAGTGGCATAAAAGAAGCTCAATCGGTATCAGTGATCAACATTTTCATATCTTGTTTCCGTTATTTATTATTATTATTATTACGTATAGCGGAAGATAGACAAAATGTTGAAAATGAAAATATAAGAAAAATGTCCAATGTTTGTTTGTTTGTTTATTTGTTCGAATTTGAGAGTGAAATTTTGTGCGTGTGTATGTGTGTTTTCAATTGAAATAAAAAAAAATACATTAACAATCATAGACATCAGCAATGGTGACGATATTTCAATTTTATTTTTCAAGTATATTTTTTTTTCAATGAAAAAACACGGTAAAGAAAATATTTTGAATTGTCCGACATAAATGACTGGAAATTTTGTCCCGAATTTTGTTCTAAATCATGTTACTATAATTAGTAGTATATAGAACCATTAAGTTGAATGTCGTGATTGTAATTTTCCTATTGGAAACATTCTATTGCCTGCTAATTATCGAATCCAAACATCTTGATTGCCACTAAATAATGAAAACAAAAATAAAACAAATAAAAATTTATCATTATTTCCTTTTTCATGCATATTTGAAATTTCACAACGATCCATTGTATATGTATGCATAACCTTTTATAATATTTCACATTCAATCCTTTTTAGTTACATTATGATGCAGTCACAAAACTTAAAATAGAATATTTTTATGTTCCCAACACCAATCATCAGTATTTATAATTTCTATTTCCATGACCACCATCATCAAGATATAAAACGATTAACACTGTGTAGTTGATTTTGTTTGACATGTAATTTTGTGTGTGTGTGTGTGTGTGTGAAGTAGATAGTTAGAAAAGTGAAATTTATTTTCATTTTCGGTATAATTCATTCGAATGGATCATCTAATCAATCGGTTTGAATGGATTTTTTTTCTTTTTCGATATTGGGCACCGGATTAGGATTATTATTTTTTCTCACATTTCATCCTATATAAAGGATTAAATTTGATTTTCAACTTTGGCTACAATCTATCATCTATCTATCCATCGATCTACATGTAAATATTGAAAAAAAACCAATGCCAGTTATTATCAACAATTTATTTTTATTACATGAACGAGTAATCGATTATCGAGTAATAATTTCAAACATGTCCGAACATTTTCGTTTCAAGCTTTGTCGAATAAATTATTACTTATCGATGATAATAATAAATAAATCAAAAACAATAGTTTGATTGTTGAACATTCATTTAGTTGAAAAATCTTTTAAACGCTTCATACACAAATAATAAAAGAACATAGGTGTAATTTATTCCACAACAATATTCAATTGAACATCCAAAAGGGAAAAAAATCCATTGATTAAATATATAAAAAACGAAAACAAGAAAAATGAATGCAAAAAAAATTATTTTACAATAAAAAAGAAAAAACAAGAAGGAATGATAATTTAAGCTGGAATTTTTGGTGAAAGAACTTTGATAGTTATACGATTCGCCGTTGTCGAAGTTGATGCTGTTGATGATTTTAGATTGGATCCGGTTGTTGTCGATAAAAGACGATGATCATCGATAGCCTTTGATGTTTTATTGTAAGTTGATGTTTTAAATGATGACAATTGCGATTGTTGTGGTGCTGATAATGCAAATGTTGATGTAGATTTTTTCAATACAAATTTTGCTGCTGACAACGATATCGAATGGTCCATTTCGACTGATCTATTTTTAGAAATATTATTATTGATTGTCGATGTGTTAGTTTTGGTGGTAGAGAAACTGGACAAAATTGGTCGATCATTCGATGGTGATGATGATGATGATGATGATGTTGATTTCAATGTCGATAATGATGATGATGATGATGGAATTTGTTTCACATGTTGATTGGACATTGTTTGGTTGGGAAAATTACGTCTAGGAAATACATTTAACAATGTCGTTATGGTCGGAGCCGATATTGTATTGGTAATGGATGAATTTGAATTCAACTTGTTTAATGATGATTCAACCGGTATCATATTGTCCAACGAATCATTGTCGTTATCCTGATGGTTTGATAATTTTAAAGATGATTTATGATCATCGACATTATTTTTATTATTATTGATTGATGATAATCGATAATGTTGATCCTCAACATCTTTATGTTTATCATTTTTATCTATACAATCCTTCACATCTTGACCAACATCATCATCAACATTATCATGGACATCGCCTTGCTGTTCATTCAAGCGATTATGATGAGGATGTTGTCGATTTTGTCTGCCAAACATTTTCTGATGTGCTATCCTAAATTCTTCCATTAAAAGTTCTATGCGGGTAAGAGAAAGAAAAATGATAGAAAAAATTGGGATAAATATTATTTTTGATCAATGAATGATGAATTTAATTTCAAAGTAATACATTGGAACTAGACATTTATGATAAAACAAAAAACAAAAAAAAACATTACATACCATGTTGTCGTTTTTTATTATCCGAAGCATCTTTGCTGCCAACACCTGAACATCCAACGCCATTGCTGCTATTACCGTTATCTTTTCCACCGCCAAAAGGTGGACGACGTAATAATTTATTTTTATCCACAGTTGAAATGGCCGATGAAGAATTATGATCCAAATGATTATTATCATCAATAATCGACGAATTATTATTGGATTCGATCGAATTCACTGGCCGTAAATGTCTTCGGCGACCATTCTCACCCATAGCTTTGATTTCTTCAAGAAATGAAAATTGTGGCATACATTGTCCATTGATTGCCGAATTAATTGTGCCCATTGGCGGTGATGATGGTGGTCGTGGTGGTTGTTGTATCATTACGTTCGATGAAGATAATGATGATGAGGGACAATTTGGTGATGAAGATGATATTGAAGATGTCGATGATCCTATAGTACTGTAATGATGTTGTTGTAATAATGATGAAGTTGTCGTCATAGTCGATGATGATGATGATGATGATTGACTTGGATGATGATAATGATGGCTACCATTATTATGAAGATGATTTCCATCAGCTATTTGGTGTTGTGCAGAAGAATGATGATGATGATGATGCGAATGATATATGCTTTCTTTATTCAACAACAATTCTTTCCTGTATCAAATACAATGAAAAAAATCATGTTTATTGTTTGATAAACAGGACAAACATGGGCAAATTATTATCCTAAATTTTTCTGGCTAAAATTTCAAAATTTGAAAGGACAATCACAATTATGATTAAAATTGTTTATTTGGATTTCATTTTGACCAAAAAAAACCTACGAGTACAAAGTACTTACTTTTCAATTTCTAATTTTTCTTTTTCTCTACAAAGTTTTTCATGTTCTTCGTTCAATTTTCGAGAAGCCTCAACAAGTTTCTCCTCTTTTTCCCGAACTTCCTGTAATATTCGAATCGAATTGGCTACAGCATTTGTTACTTGATCAACATGATGTACGTTTGTGAATAATGTTACGGGTGGTACTACTGGAGGTAAAACCGGAACAATTGATGATGATGGTATAGGATGTGCATAAGAAACATTGTCCACTGGAAAAGTAGACGGCCGATTACAAATTGACTGTTGTTGTTGCTGATATTCATCCTTGGAACGTTGACGTTTACAACAACATCGATTTTTTTCACAAGAATTCAACGAAGACGATGATAATGATGATGACGAACCTGGTGAAGCATTGATGGAAGATGCAGAAATTTGAACCGAAGAATATGCAGAACAATAATTCGATGATGATGAAGATGATGCTGATGTAGTTCCAGTACCCTGAAATGTTGAGAGATTTGTTGATGCAGTTTTGTAATGCTGATGTGATTGATAAGTTGGGCTGTTTTTCGCTGGACTTTTATTTCCGGTTTTCACTGACACTAATGTCGAACTAGTAGAAGGTGGGGGTGGGACTGGCGGTGGTACCGGCACTGGTAATGGTGGATGTGGAACACTATATAAAACTTTACTTTTTGAACCATGTTTTTTATTATTGGTTGAAGTAGTAGAAATTCTTGACGATGGAATATTGTTTGATTTTGACTTTGATTTCGATGATTTCGAAGATGAACAGGATGTTGATGAAAAGTATTGCTGCTGTTGCTGTTGATGCTTAGTTGGCGATAAATAATGGCACTTGTTCAATGTTGTTTGTTGCTGTGATGAACCACCATTAGATGTGGAAGCATCATTGTTGATTGTACTATAATGATCACGGCTTAAAATGTGTGGCAAATAGAGTTGAACAACGAATAATAACTAAATATTAAATTCGAAAATACTTACCACTCAAATATATGTCTGGCAACACCTTTACGAACCAGAAGACTGATGTTCGTCAATGATTTGAGCATCGATATGGCACCATCAAAACCGATCACCGACACATCCAGATCGTTGACGCGAACAATTTGATCACCAATTTCAAGACCACATTTTTGAGCCAATTTACCTTCTTTAACATGTTGAATAAATATTCCCGGGCATGATGCCGGTCCATTGACAACCGAACAACCTAATGATGAACCTGGTTGATGACATTGAATATAAAGATGTTGTTCATTATAGTTGGCGCAATAAATTGGCCTTGATGTTGATGAAGGTGATGTTGATCCTGATGATGATGAGTTTGAAGGAAGTGTTGAATGTAATAAAGGCATCGATGGTGGTGATAATGGTCGATGATGATGATTATGAGAAGAAGGTGGTGGTGGCGGTGGTGGTTGTGGTGGTGGATGAATTAAAAGATCAGACTGATCATCAGAACTTGATAGATGATCATCCGATGTGGATGATATCGTTGATGAAGCAGGTGTAGTCAATGATGATGCAGACCGTGGACGTGTAGGATGATGTGTATGATGGCGATGATGATTATTATTATTATGATGATGATGATGATGTTGGTGATAAACGAATGAACTAACTTCGGATGATGATCCTGATGAGTGTGTTGCAGCCATCATTGTTCTAGCACCAGCATTGTTGATAGCTGACATTTCGACAACGTTATCACCATTACAGCTATATGTCATTGAACGTTGAGCACATAAACGTTTCCAAGTCAATTTATCACCAGGGCCTCGACCTTTAAATGGTACAACACCGACTGAACGAACACGAAGTGTAAGATCATTAGCTGACATACGAATCAATGCCACCACTTCATCATGAATGACACGATCCAATGGAAAACCATTTATGCGAAATATTTGATCACCAGGCTGATTAAGAATTACAAAAAAAGATAAATATTGCTATGAACTTTAAAACATTCTGTCACAGAAAAGAAACACTTACACAGAGGCCTTGTTTGTCAGCCAATGAATCTGGTTGTACGTCCGATACATAAAAGCCAATACCATGTTCCCAACCTATGGAATAACGAATGAAAAACGAAATCAAATTTAATAAAACTATTTATGGAATCGATAAATGTATAAAAAATAACTAATTCACGATATGATTGATATTTTGAGTAAATTCAAATTTTCGATACGAAATCAATGAAACGGTCTACAATGATGAATAATATAGCTAACAATTATCCTAATCATCATGTCATGTGTAATGTGTTAGTATGTCTGATCTATAGTAAAAGTTGTTGCGCTTGATGGCCGAATAATCTAATTATGTAACGGATAAGAAAAACTAAAAATCACGATATCAAAAATGACCGGTCAAACCTTGTGTCTTTCATGTGTCATGATGGTAGGGCAGAGAGAAAAAAAAAAAAAGATCACAAACTGGCCAAATCAGATTTCATCGGTAACCAATATATCAGTGATCGAGAACGTGAGATCTCGTTTTTATCTGACACAAAAGAAAGTTAGAAAAGTTGAAAGCTCAAACATTGAAATCATTAAATGGGCTGAAAAAAAATTAATAACTTTCGATAATGCTTATTGGTAATTGATTGGCAGAAAAAAATATGTATAAATTCATTGACCGATTTTCATTTTCATATTGCTTCCGATGAATTTGTCAAGTTTGATTTTTTCATATTTTTATTTCAAATATTTTTTCCTTTCATCCATTCAACATGACCAAATTTGTTTGTTGTTGGCAGTGAACACTTTTGAGGTTTATGTTTTTACAATGTTGTTGTAAGCTAATTTACAAGATTTCTTCATTGTGATTGCATGCTGATTTACAGGTGAAAACATAGTTATAAAAACAATAAAAACAACACAAAATTAAGATTAATCGCAAACAATATATTGTTGTTGTCAATCCACCCTGATTTTCATCTGTTTTAATCTTATTCCAATAACATTATATTGTATTGTATGCAAAAAAAAGAGGGGAAAAAATGATCCATACTGTAATCAATCACATAGACACATATATATACAACAATGATGGCTGATAATCAACATTTTTTTTTGCGAATGTTATAATAACTGCATACAGAATGCCGGAAAAAAGTAAAGTATTCAAATTTTATTTGACCATAGAGTTATGTAATCATTGGTGTAGTCCCAATTGTCGGACATCTTGGTCAGTCGGTCATATAAAATAAAAAAAAACGTTTTTTCCCGTTTTAGTCAGTAGACAGTAGACATACACTTGTGGGATAAAAAAAAATTTTCTACATAAACTGGACATATATGAAATGTTCTTGTTGTTGAAGATGATGTGATAGAAAGTTGTCCATTTTATCACATCATACATTGGACCAGACTAAAAAAAACAATTGAAAAGGAAAAAAATTTCAAGGAATGGGAGCTTCCTTTTTTTCTCTTTTTTTTGTACCATTGTAATATATTCCTGACCATTTTTAATTAGACCGAATGATGAAAAATCAAGAGGCAGGTATGAGAATATGAGAAAATTAACATGAGAAGATCAAAGCATTCATTATTGCCATATATCATTGTCATAACTATGGTGAAAACGATTCAATCAATTTCATTTTCAAAAAAAAAAACACACTTACCACCACGAATTGAAAATCCTAACGATTGATTTTGATCAGTACGACGAAGTCGAACATTACGACATTTGCCAATAAATAATGTACCAGATGTATTTGTTGAATTATATGATGAACAAATATTTGGATTCGATGCGTTGTTATTGCTGTTGTTCCTAGTACACATGGTAGATGAATCACCATTACAACATATATCCATCATTGATGATGATGATCCGGGTATAGGTGACCAACAACACATTGCACAATCACCACCATCATTCAAATTATTATTAATTAAATGATCTTTGTTATGATGTGAAACAGCATGATGAATACCGTTGTCGATTGCCGTTAATAAACAACTGGTTGATTTTGCTGGAGATAATTTATGTGGCATTACAACCATTTTTGATCGGGTCTTTGATTGACCAAAATTAAAATGAACAAAAAAGCCAAATAGAATTACGAGAACATAATCAGATTATTGGATGAAAAAAAATGGATCAACACAATCACGAAATGATCTTGGCGATTAATCGATAATGAACAAATAATGATGGACAATGAATTGAATATGCATACAAATGTTATGCATGAACAGATTTGTAAATTCAAATGATCGAGTTGTGTTGGCGTTAAAGAAACGAATCTCTTAAGATGGATCCAATGACGAAGCTAGTCATTCACTGTATTTCGATCGAAATGGGAGAAAATCATCTTTTCAACAAAAGACCGGGGATTTTTTTCTTCGTCTCTATGATGAAAAATCATTCCAAACAAAAAGAGACAAACAGAGCGGCTTTCAACCTGAATAAAATGAAAAAAAAGAGAAATAGAGAAAATCGTGAATAAATAAAAATAAAAAAAAAATACAACTAAGGTATGGCAATTCAATCATTTTCAATCAATTCAAATAGAGAAAAAAAAACTTTTTATTTTTCCATGAAATAATAAAAATTTCTGGTGGAAAAAAAATGTTTCTGGTTAAATTATAAAAATTCATAATAAACAACAATTGATAGAAAAATGAAAACAAATTATCATACACGTGTGTTTATGGATCAACAATTGTCTCTGAATTGTTCTAGTCATGATTTTTTTTTTCATTAACTTTTGCATCCAAAACAATTTAACGTCAACGAATTACGATTATTAATGATGATGATGATGATGATGATGATGATTATCATTTTATTAGGCAAATGTATTTTCCATTCAAAAAACAGTACCAAAAAAAAACTTCGAACAAACAAGGAAAAATTATTTTATAAATTAAAGCAATAATAGTGGATCCTTTTTTTGGTCAAAAATAATACACGAAAGAAAAAAAAACAAACCTGCTTTAATTTTTATATTAACAATTTTTCCTTGGCTATAATCACGTAATTTGTGTTCATGTGGGCGTCGAATGAGATGTATTTGATCCAAAGAAAAAAAAAACAAACGATTGGTTATTTGTGTAAAAAAAAATGTTTACGTGTTTATCTCATAATGTAATGACCGATGTTTATGTGTGAAAAGTAGGTGTGCGTATGACACATGAGCATCATTTTGGTAAAAATCTAATAATCATAAATGGATCTAATTCAATTGGAATGGTGTATAAAAATATAAACATAACGTGTATAATAGAGATGGACGAAATTTGGGGAAAAAAATTCAATCTATCGATAATACAAAACATGAATTTCATGATGAGATTGTGTTTTTTCTCATTATGATCATCATCATCATCATCATCGAACATCGAACATGATGAGAATTTTTTTTATTTACTGACTGACCGATCGATCGAACTATCTAGTCAGTTTTCTTAATTTAGAAAATAAATCCAAATACCGGCCACACAGACAAAATTGTGATCATAATATCATCATCATAATCGGTTCGCGTAAATATTATAGTTTTGATTCAAAACATAATGGAAAGCAGATGATAAAGATCAAATGTAATTTTTTTTTTGGTTAGTAAAAAAATAATAATATCAGAACAAATAAACAAACAAATGTTTAACCAATTTTTATGATTTCACAGACTATTGTGATGTGAAGAAGCAAAAAAAAAATCCAAATCGGAAAAAGTTTCACAGAATACAGATGGATTTTGGTTTAGCTCTTTATATTACACACACACACACACACAATGAAAGATGTGTATCATGAATGAAAAAGTTGAAAAAAAAGAAAGTTAAAACAGGATTCCACCACCAACCGCGTTGACAACCGTATACCATGTCAATGTTTTTGGTTGGTACTATCCATTATCCATTATTTCAAACCACAACAACGACTGCCAAAAAAAAAAACAGATGAAGACTGGTCACTTGTTGATCCATCAAAAAAGAAGATTTCAAAATCTATTTTTTTTTCGAATGATAAATCGGACACATGAAATAAAAATGCCGTTCATATAAACAGTATATAGAGACAAACACTCAAATATAAAATGAAAAGATCTATTTTTTTTCTTTCATACCCGAACATCATCAACATGGTTTATTTTGAAACTTGGCCATCATCATCATTGTCAAAATAATGGTTGTTCATTCATTTATATATATATGGAATCCAAATGATCAATTATTGATTGATTGATAAAGATCGATTTGCCATGATTGCTTTTTCTTTTGCTACTATCAACCGTTCCAAATAATTGACCAGACAGAAGAAAATAACATTGGGAAATTGAACACTGTAAGCAATGATAGTATTATTATTATTATTATTATTTATCATCTACATTCAATGTTTTTATTTTCAATTTTAGCTGTGAATTAAAATAAAAATAAAATAATTTCTACACATCCATTCATCAGATATTTTTCCTGTGATGATAACAAGATATATAACATCCGACATGAAGAACAAAGAAAAAATCACACCAAATTAAATAGTGAATACAAATTTGATGATGATCATGTTCGATTGGATCCTTGTGTGTGTATGTAAACCATATACAATCGATTCGCAAGTTTAATTGATGTCCGGGTGAATCATTCGAAAATCATACAATCACCGATCGAATCAAATCAAGATTTAATTTAATTCAATGATAGTAGCATCATTGTTTCTTTTACTTTTCGGTTTATTGCTCTATATAATCATCTTTAGTTGGGATGGGATTTTCTTCAAAGAAAAAACAATAGAAAGATTGAAATACCAATGATGATGATGATGATGATGAGCAACGAAGGATTTATAGTTTTATTCGTTTTTTATAAATTTTTATTTTTGGGTAGAAAAAAAATCGAAATTTATGCACACCAAAAATCCAAAAAGGTGGTTATCATCGTGAATGTTTTAAAGATGAAACAACGTTCATTTTCTATAGAAATAAAAATGATCATTTACGACTGAAAAAAAGATGGCTGGTTGAAACCAAAAAAAAAAAAGTGAAATAAAATAAAAACAGCAATGGATCGTGATCTGAAAAATAGATTTCATTTCTTATTCAACATTATGAAAAACAACACAACAAAACCTATCCAGTCATCATCATCATCATCATCATCATCATTATCAGTGGCTGAAAGGTATTACACATCTTGTAAACATGTTAACGCACACACACAAACATTGACCACTTCTCACAGAAAACAAAACAAAACAAAAAATTATGGCTATATCTGGAAGAATACAAAAAATCTAACATATCATATATAGACAATGATGAAGATAATGATTTCCGATTGCTATAATGATGATGATAATGATGATGAGAATTGAATACCAAATCATTATATGGCTACGACTATGATGATGAAAAAATAAATTTTTTAAAAAATGAAAATTTACTTTCATCATCATTTTTATCATTGAATTTTGATTGAATTTTTTTTTTGGCTAAACAGGAACAAAAAATATATGATCTATACACATTTTAAAATTCACAAGACAGAAAAAAATGGTGTGTACCCAAAAATAATCATTATATTTTGATCCGAATTTTTTTTTTTTTTGGAGAAAGAAAAAAATTTGAATCATTTTTTCTTGTTCCGTTTGTGTAATATTGAAATTTTTTTTTGAATCTATTTCACACACTCATACAATAAATTGTTCAACCAAACATAACCAGAATGACTGTATTCGGAAATGCAAAAAACTATGCAAAAAAATAGAAAATCGATTTCGATGTTACTTGTTCGTTCCCCTTTCATCATACATAACGATCATGGGAAAAAAATTGGTAGCCATAATAATAGGACAAAAAAAAATTTAATAAATTCAATCAATGTATACATGCAACGGGAAAATTTGGAGCAAAAAAAAAAAAAAATGAAATTTTCAACCACAAAACAAGCGATGTCTTTATGTTATATAATTTTAATCTGATAAAAAATATTTAGTTTTCATGCAAAAAAAAACAAGTCGAATAAACAATACTATTACAAAAACCACACCCAAAAAAAAAAAAAAATGTTTGTTAAACTCAAATAGACGTGTCCAACATGATGACCAATTGAAAAAAATAAACAAAATCAATGATCAATAAATCTTGTTTCTTTTTTTTATATTTGCAAAACCATCCATAATCTATTTGGATTGAATAATTATATTGAAATCAACTATGGATCAAATGAATACGACGAAATAAATACAAGAGATGGATTATTTGAAATTGATCCAAATTAAAAATCTATATAATTAAAAAAACATCAAATCGAATGGGCTACTCGTGTTTTTTTTTCTCATTGATTGTTTGAAATTTCGAATGTTTATTGTGATTATTATTATATCCGCGGGTAATGTTCAACTCATCGACAAATCTCAAAGATGAAAAAAAAAAAGATATGTAGGCAAATTTGAAAAAAGCGCTTAAACTATGAATAAATTACCATACCTTTCGTAATTTATACTACTATTTCTCCAACATTAGACCATGATCATAACCATAATTTTTGATGCTAATGATGATGATGATGATGATTAAGCAATGTAAAATGTACCAATCGAATGAAATCGATGCATTGAAATGATGGAAATAAAAACATTGCATATTTAATCCAGACTGAAAACGGAAATTATTTTCCCTACACAATCATACAGTTTGAGTTTAGTTGAATTCATAAAAATGTAAATATTTGAAGAGAACAAAATCAAAATGATAAAATTATGACCATCGTCATGATGTAAGCGTCATTATTATAAATGTGATTCATATAGGGAAAAATCGACAGACCGAATCATTGCACCTACAGTGTGATAATATTAGATAGGTTGGTATACAAATCAAGATTCATAGTTTACTAGATTTACCTGAATTGATGGGAAATAAAGCAAACGAATAAATAAAAGAATCGGATATGACCAAGGACAATGACAATGATGATGATAATCATGTATAGAGTAGTAATCAGGTTCTATATGAATGGAATAAAAAGAATGGTCGTTGTCGTTATAAAATGTACATCATCATTATCAACCATCCTAACGATACCCATATGGCATATATGGCAAACGAAATCATTTCTTTATCCGGTTTATGAATGAATGAGTCACATCATCATCATCATTATATGATCACATGTCCCGAATCATATGCATGGATAAATCTCTAATAGACAAAATAAAAAACAGTTCGATGGTTGGAAACCGACCAAACAAAACAATTATAAACATTAAAAAAAAAATGTTGTATATGTGCACATTGACATTGTGTTCAGTGAACCATATCTTCATGATCATCAACAAAATGTGAGAGAAAAAAAAAATCTAACTATTCGAGATTGACATTGTGTTTTTTCTATATTTCAAGGATGTATATCTGAATTAAATGAGCAAATAATCATAACATTTTATTTGTAATCACCATAAGTAATGCTATTCTGTCCATTTTGATAAGAAAAAAAAAGAATGAAAAAATAGATTAAAAGGTGAGAAATGTAAAAAAAAAAACAACAACAAAGAATTCGAAAGAGAAGAATTGAAAAAATAGATCATCCATGATTAGGATGATTATACTATATCGCATCTAAGATCATGAATGAATGAACGAACTGGTCGATTGCCATTTTTCACACCAAGAACCAAGAAATTAAAATTGTTTTGAAAAAAATAGGACAGATTCTTCATTAGTAAAAAAAATAGATCAAATAAGCTGGTTCATTCATCATGAGAATTTTTACAAGATCATTCGTGGTTTACATTCATTCTATTCACACATTGATGTTTAAAAAGAATCAAAAAAAATCTAATCAAATCCAATAAAAAATCGATCAATCAATCAATCAATCATTCAATTATTTGTAAATCTAAATACAACTAACCATGATCTAACACATACATTAATGATAATGATGATGAATAACAAGTGATGATCTAGTTTAGTCATATTGTAAACTGGATATCTTTTTTTTTCTATTTAATGACAAATGAATCAAATGGAAAAAAACCTGTTGATTTTCAATTGTTCTCAATTTCTATTACCTAATCATTGTCATTATGTTTTATTTCTTTGATCATTAGATTTTTTTTTATTGAGCATTCATTCACTTATTCAATGGTATATTTAATGAATATCGTTTCTTCTTATCATTTTCATGAAATCCCAGGAAGTAGCTAAAATTTCATGATTCGGAGAAAATATAGAAAATTTTA